AGATGAAATTAATTAAGAATACTTAAATTTGATGGGGAGTTTTCACTTGACAATCAAGGGTTGGAGTCAATTCGGTTTGATGAATTTGATAAAATTGACAATGAAAAAGTTGTTAGAAATTGACAATTGACAATGTATAAGAGCCTTAACTGAAGCATAAGGATCTATACTATACTATAGCGTAATTGGAAAAAAAAAATAGCATATCATGTTAGAAAATGAACAATTGACTCATCAACATCAGAGGAACACCAAACCTAAATCCTAAACAACCTCACGTCACAAACAAATTAATATAACTACACATATATTCACAATAAATAGATAACCATGCCACTAGATTAAAAGCACCAAACATCATCTGAAGATCATGCAGTCATGTTTATTCCTAAATTAGCTCTCTTTTAAAAATGCCTTAATTATCAAACATTTACTCGTCAAAACAGTGATACTTTAAACTGTGAACAGGTGAAGAATTTCAGAGTAGTTCCAATGATGAATAATTGAATATCTCAAAAATCATCTCATAAATATTTTATTAATATAGTTCAAAAATTAAATCAAAACTTTAAATATAAATAGATTCAACAGACACCTATCTAGATATGTATCTAATAAATTCTCAGACAAAAGATGTCTCTCTCTTTTCTTTTCCTCTTTTAATATTTTTAATTTTGGAATACTTTTTTAAGAGCATCTTTATTGCAGATTTCTAAATAAGTTTCTCCACCTAAAAAAATAATAAAAAAAGAAAAAAAGAGAGAATATAAAATAAATTTCTTATTTAAGAGATTATGAGACCATCTCCATCAGAGATTTTAAACACAATTTCTTAAAAAAATATTAAAAACTAAAAAAAAGCATAAAAAGCATAAAAATGCTTCTTAATTTCTGTTTTAACAAACGATTTTAACTTTTTTTAAGAAATTCTTTTACATGTGCCCTTTTATGATTGATTTAAATCTTTTACAATTTAAAAATTAATATTTTTTTGTTAGATACTCTCATAGTATTTTAACTGTTGGAGATGCCTTGAGAAATCTTTGAGAATTTTTTAACACATGTCAATTTAAGAATGAACTATTTTTTTATAATTTAAATTTTAATTCTATAATCAAATTACATTAAAATATTGTTTTATATTGTTGAAAGACTCAAAGCAAGTCTCTCGGCAATGCTGGTGGTCTAAGAGATTTTGATGGAGATGTTCTTATAAATCTAGAATTCGTGAAATTTGGTTGAACGAATAAAACATCCTATCAAACCAAGAAGATTGACTTCATGTGCTGCATAATGGAAACGCCACAGAAATTATAATAACTTGTTGCTAAACCATATGAAACCACGCATCAATGTGGAACCGAAAATGTGCGAATCTAAACCACGAAGAACATGATTGTGTACCAATTTCTACAATACACAAGGCAAAATCTTTTTAAACTATCGTATTGGCCAAGGCCAGTTCTTTATGAATTTGTCCTCTAAGCCACGAGATGACGAATATATCTCCATACATATCATATTATATATTCCTACCATTGTAAACGAACAGCACATTCTTGATCTTTATCAGAATTAGATGGGTGAAAAGTAGACTCGTTGAGTACGTTAAGGGACTTATTGGAAGTAATACGACGAAGATTTATTCTCGACGTAAATGTCAGAGTATTTTGTGTCGTTCTTGCGGGAGTGGACGATGGTACAGTTGGTACTGATGTTTAAGCGTCATCATGTGAATGTGAATTTAGTAACATGATGCAATGGTGAATATGTGAGTAGAAGAAACGCAAAGATCATGCAACGGTTCATAACCAAACAGAGTGATAGAACATATGTGAATATGTGAGTAGAAAAACCGCAAAGATCATGCGAAATTGTTAAATTAATCTTATTTGACTATACGGATATGATTCCATGCTTTCACTTCATTTGAATACCCAGAAAAAAGGTTTATCCATAAGCTGCATCTCCCACATGAGATTAGTTTGACTTCTTCCATATATCTGAGATGTACCCTGAATTATCAATAACAAAAAAAAAGTTCATGCAACGGCTCCTAACCACCACGTTAGAGAACATTTGACGTTGGAGAGGAAATTGGCCGACCTTTAGACTTCCCACTATGCTAAATGTGGTTTAGTTATCAACACGTTATTTTTTGGTAATTGACGTTAGCCGAACCATAAATCCATAACCAAACTCAGTGATAGAACATATGTGGATATAATTAAACTTACCTTCTTTAAAATTTTAAAGTTAAATTGTTTTTCTTGTTTTTAATTGTGTGAAAGATTATTAACTTATTATCTTATTATAAACAACCCAAATTGCTAAAAAAGAGAGTAAGGTTATATTCTTCGGCATAGGCAAATAAAAACAAAATTCTACCTTTAATTATACAAAAATTTAAGGAGCATATGGGAAAGGTATTTATGGGAAAGGTTACTTCTAATTAAGTAGTGTAAGTATAGTCAAATCTATACTATTATTTGAGAAAACATTTAAATTGTAATAACTAGTTTGTAAAAAAAAAGATAAGCTAATGTATTTTAATGGTGACTTAGAAATAAGACATGGCAAAAAATTTAGATTAAATAAAATATTTTGATTGATTGAATTAAAATTAAATAAATACTATTTTCAAATAAGAAAATGATTATATATATATGCATTCTCATTATACAGAAAAAATTTAAAATTATAAATTAAATAAAATAGTGTGATAGAAAAATAAATCACCAGTATCATCTTAGCTAAACAAAAAAATTATAATAAGATAAAAATATATATAAATAAAAAGTAAAGTGAAAATTAATTTTTACGACTTTGATAGTCCATAAAAATCTCATGCTATGTTTTTAGTTTAAAACATCTTCAACCTATCTTTATCTTAAATCTTCTAATTTAGAGAAAAAAACTATAGATGTTATTTTTCCTCTATAGTTGGAGGAAAAACTAATATTTTTTCCTGTAAAATAGAAATGAGTTGAAAAAAATCCACATATATTCTAGATGAAAAAAATAGATAACAAACTTTTATGTTTTTAGTTTTCTGTAAAAATCTCAGACTATGTCTCTGATTTTAAGCACCTCCAACCATTTTTATTTTAAATCTTCTAATTTAAAGAAAATATATATATATTATTCATTTGTACAGGCCAATCATTTATTTATTATGAATGATAAACTTAAATATTTTAATTAGTTTATTTTTCATAAAAATTTAATGTTCGCACCTATGTGCAAACCAACGACCTAGTTCTCTAAGAGCATATCTAATGTATCATTTAATTTTCTTTTCTCACAAAATAGAATAATTATAAAATTGAATTGAATTTTTCTTCAATATAATATTCTATTTTTAATTCCAAACTGAATTTTTTAAATTTATTTTTGTTCTCTTTTTTATTATTAATTGCTAACTATGCATATTTTTCAAAATTTACAAATAGATCCACTAATTTCATTTCTTTTAAATACTTCTACAGTTCTATGAATTATGATATTTTTATATTTTTATGATATAAATAGAAACACATACACTACATAAAAATGATAAAACAAAGTAAAAATTATTTTATATGATTTTAATTTTAGTATTTTAAAATTTACTATGGTTTATGTGAATTTTAAAATATATGTTATTTGCATTTTAATTTTAGAGATTATGGTGTTTTAATTTCTATAATTATCACTAAAAAGTCATCAAAATGATTATTTATAACTCTTGAAATAAAATTATTTAAAATATAAAGGGATACTTTATAAATAAAAAGATCTATTCCAATATAAAATTAAAACTAAAATAGTTCTTTATTTAGAAATAAAAATAACATTATTCTATTTTAAAACCAAAAACAAAACCGAATTGGAGCAAATTTTATATTGAAATAAAATTTAGCATAAAATTTGGTATATGATTGGAGATTCTCTAAAATATACTAACATTTTGATATTTTCTAAATTTAAGCATCTTAGTTCATATCATGGGTAGGTAATCAGGGATTCAGCAGGTATATGTATATACAACAGACATTGTTGAGAAAAACGTGTCTGTCCTAAGAAAAAAATTATTTTGAAGATACAATTGAATTAAATGTTTGCATCTCATATTCATAAATTATTTCCGTCAGTTACGTCAAAGATTATTTGAATATTTATTCAGATTTTCATCAAATTTAAATATAAAAAATGCCTTACAAGCAAATTAATTAATTTTGAGATACATTTTCAATCCCCTATATAATATTCTTGACACTGGAAAAATGTTTAAGCGTAATAAGAAATACTCTATATCTTTATTTTTTTTTTGTCACAATGGAAAATACTCAAGAAATTGCAGATAACATAGATTTTAGAGATTATGGTGGAACAATATGAGAGAACTCAAGAAATTGCATACCCATTTTAACGATTTTTTAAATCCTATAGCTTCTCAAATGTTCTAAACCTAAAACACGTTCCACCTTCCATCTGTACACGCATCGGCCTCTTTGGTCTCAACCATTTATTTTTCAAATTTTTTGTTTTTTCATAGTCCATGATTTTGTTTTTCTTTTCTTCTTTTTGTTGACAACTTTCCTACCCCTTGGCTGATTCCATTTTGTCATATGATTCAAATTCATTGAGACCTATTTTCAAAACCCTATTTCGAAAGCAAAGATTAACTCTCTCTATTCTTTTTTGTTCATAGTCCAAACAGAGTGTAAACATTTTCCAAACTGCTAGAACACAAAAAGCTGAGTTTTTTTTTTTATAAGTTTGCTTGGTTCTTTTTTTGTTATTTGTTGGTTTTAAATTTTCTGGGAAATTGTATCGTAAAAATAGAAAAAGAAAAGAGACATTATTGACCGCTCTTGGTTCAGACGAAAAAGGTGTGTTCTTCTTACGTTACAATTTTCTTCTTCGTTCATAATCACATGTTTAGTTCTTTTACATTTTGGATTATAGTGAAAATTCCTTAAAAAAAAAATTGATTTTCTTTAATACCCGTTTCATAAATTGGTGCTTAGATTTCTATCACTATTTACTAACATCAAATTTTCTGATTTTTTATTTATTTGGTAATTGACGTTAACCAAACTTTCAGTGACAGAAAATCTGTGGTTACAACCAAATCTCTTTCTTTAATTTCTTGTCATATACTCATATTAGTTGATTTCTGATTCTACCTAATTTCTTAAAAAGTTTCAGCCTTTGATCCCAGCTAATTTTTCTTTTTGTGTGTCAACAGCTAAATTGTTTATAGGACAAAATTTGGTTTTTCTGGAATCCTCTAGATTCTTGGACACAAGTAAATTTGAGGTTGACTTGGAGTCATCAAGATTTTGATTTCCAAGGTAATTGTAATGTGTGGTTAGCCTTGAAACCGCTTTATACCTGAAAACGAAATAACTCTCTTTTAATTTTTTTTTTTTTCTAGGGGCATGTAATGAAATGTCACCTACCTAACAGAGAATCATTTACTTTGCTAGATTCTGTATACACACACACATTCTTTTATGTACTTGTGAAGCTCAGAAACTCAAGAAACCTTCACTGACATCTCTCAATGATGTCTGAAGATGGCTACAACACAGATTTTCCAAGAAACCCTCTTTACATCTTCTTTAGTGATTTCAGGTAAACATTATTTTTTTAATATAATTTTGTTTGTGTTCAATCATCAGAAAAAAAAAAACTTGAAAATTGGTTTTCTTTGATGAAATCAGATCAGTTCTGAAATTTGATGAACTCGGTTTGGAGATAGCTCGAATAGCTTTACCTGCAGCACTTGCTTTAACAGCTGATCCTATTGCATCTCTAGTCGACACAGCCTTCATAGGCCAAATTGGTAACAATTTCTTTCATTTGCTTATTTTAGTTTCCAAATAGCATATTCATCACTTTAAATTTTCAGCTTTTTTTTTGTTTTGGTGATGATTTACAGGTCCTGTAGAGCTTGCTGCAGTTGGAGTTTCAATTGCTTTGTTCAACCAAGTTTCAAGAATCGCTATTTTCCCACTCGTTAGCATCACAACTTCCTTTGTAGCAGAGGAAGATGCTTGTAGTTCTCAGCAAAACACAGTCCAAGATCATAAAGAATGTATTGAAATTGGTGTTAACAATACAAAAGAGGAAACTCAAGAACTGATTCCTGAAAACAACAAAGGTATATTGCAACATCATCACTCCTCTGGTGATTTGATTTCTTTTAAAGTAATTATGATCAACTTGTTTGATCATTCTTTCAGATTCTATATCAGATGAATCTAAAACCAGTTGCAGTATCTTTAGCGTTAGTAAATCTCCAGTCAAGAAAAGGAACATACCATCAGCTTCATCTGCTTTAATCATTGGAGGCATTCTTGGCCTTCTTCAAGCTGTGTTACTTATATCCGCAGCGAAGCCTCTCTTGAGTTTCATGGGAGTTAAACATGTAAAGTATCCATCTTTCAGGATCAATATATCATTATAATGTTATAAGATTTGATATTTAAACATGGTTCAAAAATTTTAACAGGATTCTCCAATGTTGAGACCTGCTCAGAGGTATCTATCTCTAAGATCACTTGGTGCACCTGCTGTTCTTCTCTCACTTGCGACTCAAGGCGTTTTCCGCGGTTTTAAAGACACGACTACTCCATTATACGCAACTGGTAACGCCATTTATGTTATATACAATATGTTCAATGTTCTTGAAACAGAACAAAGAAGATGATCCTTTTCTTTTGGATATTTTCTGCAGTGATTGGAGATGTTACAAACATAATACTCGACCCGATTTTCATATTTGTTTTCCGCTTAGGCGTAACAGGAGCAGCCACTGCTCATGTTATATCCCAGTGAGTTTAGATTTCACATTTTGTAAGCTTGGCTAATCTCAATATGACTTATGTTTTTATTAATGGAGTTTCTTTCTGTGTTCGTTTTCAGGTACCTTATGTGTGGAATACTCTTGTGGAAACTGATGGGTCAAGTTGATATCTTTAACATGAGTACCAAACATCTTCAACTCTGTAGATTTATGAAAAATGGTATTGCAAAACACTTGGAAACTTTTGAAATGTGTTTCATCTCTGATAAAATAACAACGTTTGGTTCTTGTTTTCTTTGTGGTGTTTCTATGTCGTCTCTCTCAGGCTTTCTTTTGCTGATGAGAGTAATCGCAGTAACATTCTGTGTAACTCTTTCGGCGTCACTAGCTGCACGAGAAGGATCCACTTCCATGGCAGCTTTCCAAGTTTGCTTGCAGGTTTGGTTAGCTACTTCACTTCTTGCAGACGGTTTCGCTGTAGCCGGCCAGGTTTAGCCCTATGAGATCTCTCTCCTTGATGCATCTTTTGTCTGAGTCTGTTAAGTCGTTTTAATTTTAAACAAATGGTTTCTTTCTTAAGGCAATATTAGCGAGTGCGTTTGCCAAGAAGGACTACAAAAGAGCTGCAGCTACCGCCTCTCGTGTACTGCAGGTACACACAAATTTATGCGTTTGTGTTTGCGTTTGCGTTTACATGAGAAATGAACTTTTAAAGACAGTATAAATTAAATGTTTACGTAAATGCAAGATTCAAACGCAAACTGATCTTGTGACAGTTGGGACTGGTTCTTGGGTTTCTACTGGCGGTTATACTTGGAGCAGGATTGCATTTCGGAGCAAGACTATTTACGAAAGACGATGAAGTCTTACACTTCATTAGCATAGGACTTCCAGTAATTAACTCTGCTTTAAATCCCTAATCAAAAACAAGATTCATTTTATATCATATACATTGTGGCTAAAACCGGTTTTTGTGTGTTCTCAAAGTTTGTGGCAGGAACACAACCAATCAATGCTTTAGCGTTTGTGTTCGATGGAGTTAACTTTGGAGCATCTGATTTTGGTTACGCCGCAGCTTCATTAGTACTGGTGGCTATAGTTAGCATTTTGTGTTTACTCTTTCTCTCATCAACTCATGGGTTTATTGGGCTTTGGTTTGGTCTCACCATTTACATGAGTCTTAGAGCAGCCGTTGGATTCTGGCGGTAAAAAATCTATCAAACTCTCTGTTTCTTGTAGTAAAAAAAAAAAGGTAAAAAGTTTCTTTTCTCTTTTAACAGAATGTGATTGATACTGTAACAGGATTGGAACAGGAACAGGACCTTGGTCGTTTCTTAGGACCTGAAGAAAGGAAGAGCATGTTTTAATTGTTCTTAAACCATTTCTCTAATGAGGCTGTAAATTGAATAAAATATAGAGATTATGAATCTGGAGATACAAATAACTCTATGTGATCCACTGTTACTCTTGTAGTTGTAAGTATTAATGATTTTATCCAAAATAAGATGCCGTTAGTTCAATTTTTCATTCCGTTTTATTTCAAAAAAAGGTTTTCACTTTTCAATCTACAACTCACACCATTAACAATATTTTGAACATGGGGTTATGAATTTTATGACAATGGTAAATGTAATATATAGTGATTAGATGTTCCAATCTTAATTCGAAATATCAAAGGATATAATATTTTAATATCAACTAATTTGGTTTAATTTTCCAACAAACTGTTAAATTAAGAACTGAATAAATTATAAGAATTTAAAAATAAAAAGAAATAAAAATAATTTACTTTTTTTCCTTTTTCAGGTTTGTTTGAGATCTTTTATCTGGACAAGTATTAGTTAAACAGAAATGATTGTAAAATGGATAATTGTATCCAAAAATTATAAGAAATAGTAAATTATTGTAAAATGGGATCTGAATATTTTTGAATTTTATTTTTCTCATTTCCTTTCAATAACGAAAAAAAAACAAAATTAATAGGGCCTATGTTTAGAAACTTTCTTATTTAACATGGTTGGTTAATAGCTGCTCTACTCACAATTTTTAGTTTAAAAACAAAAACAAAATAAAAATCCAATCTTTATTAGGGAAATTAAGAAGAAAAAAAAAAGTAGAAACCTTTACGAAACTCATCTGCCATTCTTTTCCAATCTAAGGAGAGAGAGAGAGCTCAATTAGTTCTTTTTTTTTTTCCGATTTCCTCACTTCACGGAGAAACTAAATCTCCGCCATGCCTACCACCACCTCCTCCTCTTCCTCCGCCACCGCTTCCTCCTCCTCCGGCAATCGTCAAGCCGATGTGTTCTCTCGTCTCGCTTCCTCTGACCCTGAAGTCAAGCTCAAGGCCCTTCGCGAGGTCAAAAACCAGATAATCGGAAACCGTACCAAAAAACTCTCTTTCCTCAAACTTGGAGCTGTTCCCGCCATAGCTTCCGCTCTCTCCGATGCAGACGATTCGGATAAATGCAACAACATCCTCGTGCAATCTGCGGCGGCGCTCGGGAGTTTCGCTTGTGGCTTTGAAGCCGGAGTTCAAGCTGTTCTCGACGCCGGAGTTTTCCCTCATCTGCTTCGTCTCCTCACTAATCCCGACGAAAAGGTGAAATTTTTAAACTTTATTGACTTTTTTTTATAAAGTCTAATTCAGTTTCCCCCAATTTTAATCCAGATTCGAAATGACATTAGAACAAGTGGCTTGAACGATTATACTCTATGATCTTTGTAGCTTTTAGTAATTGTGGTCAAAAGTTTCTACCTTTGTTGCTTTTAGGAATTGTCTGCATCTGAAGAATTAAAAGCATTGGCCTTGTAATTATGTTGATCCTCTTTTCCCTTTTCTTTGGATATAACAGCAATTTTCTTCTTCTGTATTTTTTTGTTGTTTAGGTAGTTGATGCGGGTGCTCGTTCGCTTAGAATGATATATCAATCTAATCTAGCTCCAAAGTATGATTTCCTCCAAGAGAAGAACATGGAGTTTCTTTTCTCGTTGTTGAATAGCGAGAACGAGAACGTTAGTGGCCTTGGTGCGAGCATTATCGCTCACGCATGTGGGACAAGTGTAGAGCAACAGCTTCTCTGCGAAGCCGGTGTCTTGGAGAAGCTTGTTATCCTTCTCGATGGTTCTTTAAGCCAAAGAGAAGCTTGTCTTGAATCTTTAGCTACGGTTTTGAAGAACAACCCTGAAGCTGTTTCCCACTTTGTTGGGCTCGAGGCCGGGAGGTATCTGAGTTCTGTGACTGAGTTAACAAAGGATAGGTATCCGAGGACGAGGCTGCTTTCTTGTCTCTGCCTAGTTGTCATATACAACACTTCTCCGTCTTATTTCTTAAACATGGGAACCAAGTCGAGTTTGATAAATACTCTGCTTGAGCTTCTTAACGACCCTGGTCAATCTGGAGACGATGCTGCCTTGGGTTTATCTAGTCTGATTGCTGAAAAAGAGGATTTACAAAAGTTAGCTTATGATGCCAACGCAATCAAGAACATTGTTGACATCTTGAAGACAAGTAGTGAGCTCCAGCCTAAACGTCTTCAGGGTTTGATTTCGTCTCTAGCTGAACTGTGTTCAAAGCTAGAGGATTGCAGGTGTAGCTTCCTGTCATTGCAGGTGTGTTTCCACATTGCCGTTCTCTGATTGGATCTTCGTTGGTTTGGTACTTATTACTTATACTGTTGCTGAATTTGGTATTTCTTTGTTTCGTTCGTCTAGGTGTTAGACCTACTGATTAATGCGCTAAGACACAAAAACGCTGATGTAAGAACTGCCGCTTGCATTTGCTTTAGAAACGCTGCTCGATCAATCAAGGTTTGTTTAACATTGTACATTGCAAATGCTATTAGTATTTTCAGTTGCTTTGTGTGAAGTGGTAAGTCCCCTGAGACGTGTCATTTAGAATTTGAGTGCAGGGTGTTTCACCAGCGATCATGTTATACTTCCTTTGGTTCAGTTATTGCATGATCCATCGTCCTCTGTCCAGGTACCGCGTTACATGAATTTTTTTCACCGACGGTCATGTTATGCTTTCTTTGATGCAAGTGGCAGAACCAATTTGAATGTATATTTTACCTGTGACCACCAGGTTGCAGTTCTTGGTGCTCTGAACAATATAGTATTGGATTTTTCATCACCGAAGTCAACATTTATAGAGTATGGAGGGATAAAACAGCTTATCGAGCTGTCAAAATCAATGGATCCAAACACTCGGTGTAGCGCTTTACGGGCTTTGAGGAACCTCATGTTCCTTGCAGACAGTAAACGTAAAGAAATCTTCTATTCAGACGTCAAGGCTCAAGGATTTGCTTGCCTTATCAGTGGTAAATCATTCTACACAGTCCTTTAACCAAAATCATATGATTCTCTTCATCTTTCTGCAAGCCTTTGTCAAATAACAACAAACAAAATCCATTCTTCTCAGATCCCGAGCCTCCAGTACAAGAGCAAGCGTTAGCCCTCCTTCGTAATCTTGTAGACGGATGTATAAGCTCTATTGAGTTTGTATTTGATGAAGATGGTCTAATCTTAGATACTGTTGGAAGGCAATTGAGGAAAGCTCCACAAGCTCAAATGGCAATTCAGGTTGACAAAAATGATAAAAAAAGTTTACCATATTCAATACATTTGAAAACCGCTGATCTAAATGTGTTTTCTTTCCTCAGGGGATGTATGTGCTCACGAATGTAGCGAGTGGTACAGAGTTACATAAAGAAGCGGTTATGCAGCAACTGTTCCCTCAAGGGCAAGCTGAACCAGAGAACTTCATGCTTAAGTTTTTGCAGAGCCATGAGAGCCAGTTACGGTCAGCAACAGTATGGACAATCATAAACCTCATAAGCCCTTCGAGTCCCGGTGCACTTGACCGGCATGTGAAGTTGCGGAATGCTGGTATCATTCCACAGTTGAAAAACATGGTCAACGATGCCTGCCTCGATGTTAAGGTCATAAAGAAGTAAACTTTAAAGACAGTTTCATTTTGACCTTTTTGCCAGTACTCAACTATGTTCTAATGATCCAATCTCTTCTTTGCTTGCAGATTCGCATCAGAACTGTATTAGGCCAGTCAATGTCTTTTGGCGATAATTAACAAACGCAGAGATGTTGCTATCACCAATCTCACAGAGTATACATTGAACATATCAATAGTGATTTTAGCTTTGATTCGATTTTCACAATGTAGCAAAAAGAGAGACAGAGCCCTTGACTTTATGATCATGTTCATCGGTTTATCTCTCCTGTTCCAGACACACCTATCATTCAACAGGTACTTACTTTCTTGGGCTTGTTCTTCTCAATTATGGTTGCCTGAATTGGCCATAAATGAATCTAGAATAGCGTAAAGCAGAGCATTTCAAAGGCATAATGTTAGGATTTATTCATTTGATTACTGCAGAGAATAGGATAAAGAGATTTTCTGTTTTCAGATACTGTTATGTTTAACGTAACAGTTTTTGTATCTGATCATGTGTGCAGGTGAAAGCAATGAGTAAAGATTGTACTATTACTTGTGCCACAGTTAGATTAGATCCACAACATTTTTGTTTTGTTCCTTTTTTTTTGTCTTAAAAGAACTTTCATTGTTTGTAACATTTGAGTTTTGTATAAATATTTTTTGTTGTTGACAATATCCCAAGAAACTCTATGGTAATGTCCCAATTTAATCTCCCGTTTTGGGGATTTTGGACATGCAAATGATGCTTATATAAACAATGGAATATTTTTCACATTAAACCAAAATGACACTGAAGATCAAATTTTAATAAATTATCTTGTGAAAATGTGAGTATCGTTTTTGATATTATTATTGGTAACCGCACAAGATATATCCTTTAATTTACCATAGTGTGGTAGTTATAAAGAGTCCAATCAAACTCCTAAACGGTAAACATTTGTTACCGTTTTATTTTTGTTCCGAGTTTAACTTACTGTTTTACCTTCTTTTTTTTTTTGTCAACACTTACTGTTTTACCTATTCATCAATCATCACACAATAGTACTATACCCCAGTAAAAGATTCCTAATCCTATGGTTTACTATACTTTGAGGACATTTTTGTTGCACTGCTCCGCTTTTAAAAATATAAAAACATCACATAATTTAATTACTAAAACTTAAATATGTTTTAGAAGTAGAAACCAAGAAGAAAAAAGAGAGATGATATATGTGTAATATGTGTATGTCTTTGTGCAATTTGGCCTTTGAGGATCTAACTCGCCGTTTGTGCACAGTGAATCCTATGTTTTGGATCCCATGATAAGATCCAGCCTCGACTACTGTGTACTTTCTTATGGATCTATTTTAGCCTTTTCTCCTAAAGATATAAAATATATCCCCAAGTGTTAAAAAAAATTTCCAAAATTGTTGTTACCATATTTTATAAATTTTCACTTGTATACAGATTTACAAAATTTGTAGAGAATCCCAACTAAACCCATAAAGGGTTAGTTGGTTAAAATAAACTAAAGAATAGTGTTAGTTGGTGGAGTGTAGAAACCCCAAGCATATAAATTACACATTCAATTTAAATGTCATCCCACGTGAATTATTTTTATATTACATCCAAGTTTTGATTCAATTTTTATATCCTGCCTGTGCTCTGCAGTGATTTTTCTATCCTTATATAAGAAAAGAAATCTTAAGGCTATATAGATAAATAAGCTAACCTAATACCTCCAAGAAAATAGTGTTTTTAAGACAAAAATATCTTAATTATCAAATGCGAGACTCTTGTCTTGTTTTTAGTTAAATTACATTTATATATTTTTCAAAGTAATACATCTATGTGTAATGTATAATCTGTGGACTGTGGGTATAGTTGAATTGATTATTATAAATAGTATATGCATGTGATAGACTGATAGCATCAGCATGTCTATATACGTACGAGTAAGATTAAATTAACGTTTTGTAGTATAATTACATTGAATTAACGTTTTTACATATCCTTTGAATAGAATAATGTATGTAGCTTATAAATAAATAATTAATGTTTGTTTAAAGCAAAATAAATAAATGAATAATAGTGTTATCTTTAACCGCGAACTTAAACATGCATTTGAAACCACAACACAATTAAATAATTTCTTCGGTACTATGGTACCCTCTTTTTCGGGAAAAGGGTTTTCTTCTTCGATATATTCACCGTGCTTCTATTTGTTTTAACTATTTTATTATTATAGGACAACCAAATATAATGCTTTTCGTTCAAAACATCACAATTGGGTATTCCTCAACAAACACACGATCAATAATGCCTTTATTTTTCAACATCACAAATACATTCACATCTACAAGTATATATATTATTTTTCACGATCAATAATTTTATTATGAGCCGAAATATTATTATTATGGTTCTTAACCATACATATAAAGTTCTAATAAAAAATGGATGAATCCATGTAAAACTACATAATAAAAATAATTGTATTGATTTAGCGCCCATGGATTAATGAGATAATCCTAAAGCACTAGTACTATTTTGTAACTATAATTATAATTTTCTTTTATGAATATTTAAGTAAAATCAAGCGTACCCATTTCACACTTCACAGTGACTTACATGCATTGATCCTCTACCAAAAAGAAACTCTTTTTCTTTAGTTTCCAAATACTAAGCAATCTCTTCTTTTTTTTCTTACCTTTTTCTTTCTTGGCTTTTTCTTCTCCCTGATAAAAACTTTTTCCAGTCAAAATTTAAGAGCTTTAAAGTAATTAAAACTTCCACTAAGGTTTATTTATACATACACATAATCCTCATATATATAGATTCACAATTTCACACACTTTATTTTCTCTCAATCTCTCTTTCTCTCTTTCTCTCTCCCTCCCTCTCTTCTCTCTTAATTTGGTCTAAAAAATGGCATCAAAAGGAAAGAAACCAATAAGAAGAACAACTACGAGGAGAAGACGGAGAATCAAGAACCCATCTTCTCCATGTAGCATCAACAGTGACGTCACTTCAACGTCATCATCTACTTCAATCTCTTCAACCGCCACGTCAACATCGCCGATTCCAGCTAGTGGATGCTGTACTCCGAAATCTAAGAAGTCACGAATACCGGAGATGCTTACGTGTCCGCCGGCGCCGAAAAAGCAAAGGGTGGCGCAAAACTTTGCTTTGAGGAGGAGACAAATCGCTTTCTTTGCTCCTCCTGATGTAGAGCTCTTCTTCGTTTTAGCACTTGGTCAACAAATCAATAAGTGAGCTAAGTTCATAATTAGGGTTTTTTGGTTTATTATCATAGTATGATCAATATCTCAAGTTTCTAGATTCAAATACAATAATATTGAAAGTATATTATAGAGAGTGTAGTGTGATGTTTTGCTTTTTTGTTTCTTATTTTGCTTTTTTCCATCTTTGGCTCTTCTTTTAGTTTTTTTTTTTTGGATAATTTTGAATTAGGTGGGTTTGAATTTGTGGTAGGGTATAATTAATAAAATACCGTATCCCTTTTTCATTAGTGTATTTGTAATCTTTAATGTTCTCTGTAATTGAATGATGCTTGCTAACATTTCAGGCTTGTTTGCTTTGAAGTTTTAATTTTTTGTGTTTTGGTTTGAGTTTAATTACGAGTTGGATTATTGTTTTACATACTCTATTGGTTCCACTTTTCTCATTAATTTATTCATAATCTCATCAAAAACAAGTTCTATAAAAAAGTACTTCTGAAATATATTTCCTTTTTTATTGGGTACGTGAAAAAGTCATGAAATGACATCATTTTTAACATATTGATGAGCTCGAATTCAAAACTTTTGATCCGATTTCAAGATATGTTAAATTCGACAGAAAAGAAAAAAGTTTACATAGCAAAAAATAGTGGATGCAGAATAATATGGATAATAAAGTTTTTTGGATATAATCCAAAGTTAAAAAGATTCAACTATTCCGTAGTTGGATTTAAAGTTTATAAAAGCTGAGAAATTAGTGGTACAAATCTAATTGGAAATTAGAAAAATTACGTTATTAATTTGTACTGTAATTATAAAAGGTTGAATTTTAGTTAGAGTGAAAAAAAAAAGACGAAGAAAATGTTTAAAGGATGGCCAAAGTGTCGGAGCAGACGATAACATATTCGAAGGGAATCCAATGAAAGGACTCGTGCGGCTTTTTTCATCATTTTCTCTTTTTTTTTCATTTTATCCCACTTCCTTTTTAAGATCAAAATTAATAATTACAAGTTATAACGAATGTATAGAATCATATCTATATCTAGTAGAGTAGGTAAGAAGAAGACACAGTAGCTAATTAATTATGACTATGACAGTATTTTCGCAATTAAATAATTCTTTTCGATTTGTTGATGTAATAATAATATCTTCAGACTTCAACATAATGTGGATAAAATATAACATGAGGACGTCCGCATCTTATGATTCAATTATAAACCCTTCCGTGCATTATATATTCGTTTCTACGTCACTTAATTAAAGTGTCACTTTAGAATGTACAATATCTTTGAAGGTTTTAATATTATCAGATGATAAAAATTACAAACTAGTCTATATACGTTTATGTTGGCTAAATTAGTCTATATAAGTAAAAAAAGCAGAATTTTTTTTCCTATATTAAAACTTGAAAATTAAAATTACAATAACAGGCGGAACACGATTTTATATTCGCGGAGGCTAAAAGCCAAAATGCGATTATATATAAACTTTCTTAAAAAAAACATTATTTTAATATACTTTGGCCATGCATCAAACAACAAAACATATTCTTCGTCTCTTTACGAGGTTCTTCCATGAGTTCCATTGGTTATACAAGTCATGTTTTCATTTGATCAGAAGTAGGTACGTAGACATACTTATAGGCTGTATATAAAGTCTTCGTATTCGTATATTCGTGCAAGGAATAATCCGCACGTGTGCATGTTATCAGACACGTACAAACAAAAACACAACTAGGTAAAGCAACAAATCACCTTGGAATGAGGATTTGATTTGAGTCCGTTAATTTCTTTTGGTTTTCTCTTTTTGTCTTTGTATTATTAATTAGAAGACGTCGTCCCAAAACTAATTGTATTTAAATTCACAAAAATCATTAAAGTATCAAAAATAAAATAAAAATATTTAATACAGTACTTGCTAAGATAATCGAGTAAATCAGAGATAAAGCTTATCGTACGTTTATGTCAAAGCTGATTAAACTTTTTCAGAATCCTAGGTTGCAATCTCCCCCACAAAAATGTTACATATGTAGATTCATTTGATGGGCTGTAATTAGATACGTATGTTACCCATTAAGGCCCATTCTAGTTAAATTAAATTACTCTTTGTTTTGTTAATTTGACACATCCAACAAATATTTAAAGACCAAAAGCATCTGTGGACACGTGGACATGCCGAAAAAATATATTCTCAAGAGTCGCGAGACATTCTGATTTCTTTCATTCTTTGCAATATTTTTTTCCTTTCTGAGATATCTTGTATCTTTTATTAGAGAATTTTTGTCCATTTAGTAGTACCAGCTTTTTAAAAACAAATAGTATATATTAACTAAAAACAAGCACTACTAATGCTTTTAAATATTATATATAAGTAGTGGGAAATTTGGTTTGGACTTGTATAATATATATTTCGCTTTGGTCTATAATTTCAAAATTGTTTAAAAAGATTTTCTTTTTCCTAAAATGCTAAAGAAGAATAATTTTGAAAAAAGCATTTTATGCTCGATTGAACGTTTGTTTAGCATTTTTCTTCTTTACAAAAAAGCATTTTGAAACTTTTTTTAAAAAATTATTCAAGTTTTAACAAACGTTTCCTTTTCATCGATTTTATGCTCGATTCTTCGGTCGTGAGGATCGCATCGTCGCGGCGGTGGAGAAAGATCGAAGACGAAGAAGGTTGTGCAATCGGTGGCGTTTCGAGGATCAACTCTTCTTCAGACCACATGTGTAACAACAAGCTCTCTCCACTTAAGTTACGCGTGGCTCAGTGAGTGTGACTTGTCTCACGTTTGTAACCCAATATTAATTTTCACACGTGTTGGCCCAAAAGATATCAGGCCTTGGATTATAATATTAACACCATTGAAATTATATATACTGAGTCTCTCTCCTTTAATCTTAATCATCTTATCTAAGTAACGTTTAATTTTGGCCTCTCTTTCTTTCGAGCTTTCTTCCTCACAACGCTGCAATGTCTTCTTCAACTCCACCGAGCCAGATCGTCGAGCACATCGTGTTTTTCAAAGTCAAGGACGGCGTTGACGCCGGCAGAATCAAGTCCATGGTCACCGACCTCAACAACCTAGCCAGCATCGACCAGGTGCTTTACCTCTCCGCCGGTCCCATCCGCCGTATCAGCTCGCCCTCCGCCTTCACTCACTTCCTTCATAGCCGTTACAGATCCAAGGAAGATCTCACCGCGTACGTCGACCATCCCGACCACCTTCGCGTCGTCGAGGAAACGATGCCGATCTGGGATGACATCATGGCCGTTGATTGGATCGCCGATCATGTCCCCGGGAACCTGACGCCGCCTCCCGGATCGGCTGCGAAAATCACGTTGCTCAAGGTGAAGGAGAACGTCTCCGAGCAGGCGAAGACGGAGATTATGGAAGCGATCAAGGAGAAATCTCCGGGGATTGATCAGATCACTGTGGGAGAGAACTTCTCTCCGGTTAGAGCATATGGTTTCTCGGTTGCATCGATTGCGTATTTTAAGGATTTAGGTGAAATGGAGGCTCACAAGGAGTTGGTGAAGGAGAAGGTTGGTGATTATCTCGATGATACCATTGTTGTTGAGTTCGTGTCACCTTCTTCTTCTTCATAGGCCTGTTTAAAAAAAAAAAAGCTCAGAATTTTCATTTTCTTGAAGACTCTTGTTGCTCTCGATCAATAAAATTTGCAAAACTCCGAATAATTTCAGACCAAGATTATGAATGTTCTTCAATTGTTACAAGAAACAGGAACAGAGCTTATACCAGACATATCCAGATATTGTCTGGAACAATGACTTGTTCACAATGGAAGCAATTAAACCAGATGGTGCCATATAATCAAAAACTAGATAACACACCAAACAATATCTTAAGTACTACTTGCAAGAAAAAACGAATATACAAGTGAACAAACATTTGACAAATCCCGAAACATCATCCCGGTTTAAGAGGGGAAAACGGCTCGCAGTTTGGAACTTATTGGACAAAAAGCCACGCCTTGTTTTATACTATAAGTTTGGGCCTTTAAGTGGCTGGTATTTGGGCCTTAATATTTTGGTTCGGTTCGGTTCGGTTTGGTTTTATTGGGTACGGTTTTATTTCCGTAAACCCTTAAAACCCTTTTTCTCTCCCGACATTTACATCTTCATCTCTTCTATCTAAGAAAATCTAGCACTGAACTTGTCTTGATTCAGGCAGAAGAATCAAAATCGAGAGTAGAGAGTTATGGTGGCAGCGAAAGGAGGCGATCGGAAGAGCGAAGGAGCTTTGGATGACGAGAATCTGGTCTTTGAAACGACGAAAGGGATCAAACCCATCACGAGTTTCGATGACATGGGGATGAATGATAAAGTCCTTCGCGGCGTTTACGACTACGGCTTCAAGAAACCATCTGAGATTCAGCAGAGAGCTGTGATGCCGATCCTCAAAGGACGAGACGTTATCGCTCAGGCTCAGTCCGGTACTGGGAAGACCTCCATGATTGCAATCACCGTCTGCCAAATCGTCAACACTTCCTCCAGAAAGTACGCCTCTTTTTTTTTTCCCCTGAGATTATTAAAAAATGCAAACTTTATTTCATGTTTCTAATTTGGGGTTTCAATACAGTGAGGAATTTTGTTTTAGAAGGGTAATTCAGAGTTACGTGATGAATGATCTTGATTTGTGATTAGGATGAGACTTAAGGCTGCAAGATCTGTGTTTTCCGTTTTTATCACTAATCCACTTTGTATTATTAATGGTTGATGATTTTGCTTTGTAATGAAGACAATGAGCACTTACGTAAGGCTGCAATATCTGATTTTTTTGCTTTACTAATCCACTTAATTTTGCTTCATGATTAAGATGAGGAACACTTACTAAAGGCTGAAAATTTTGTATTTTTTTTTTGGCTGCTGTACTAATCTCCTTGGAATTACATGGTTAATGATCTTGCTTCATGATTAAGATGAGGAACACCTAAGGCTGCAATATCTGTTTTATCTGCTGTACTAACCCACTTTTCTTTATCAGTTTACTTCTTAATTAAGATGATGAACACTTCACTAACCCACTTAGTATTTAGGTGGTTATTTTATTTTGCTTCATGATTACTTACATAAGGCTGCAATATCTTATTTTTTTTTGCGTTAATGATCCACTATGTATTACATGCTTTATGATTTTGCTTTGTAATTAAGGTGATGAACACTTTACTAACCCACTTGGTATTTCATGGTTCATGGTCTTGCTTTGTGATTAGGACGAGGAAATATCTGTTTTTTCTGATTTACTCTTGGTATTCTTTTCGGTCTCTAGGATTCAGGTCTTGGTCTTGTCTCCATCAAGGGAATTGGCTACACAAACAGAGAAGACGATACAGGCTATTGGAGTTCACACCAATATACAGGCACATGCTTGCATCGGCGGCAAAAGCATTGGAGAAGACATCAAGAAGCTGGAGCGTGGTGTCCATGCTGTGTCCGGGACACCTGGTCGAGTCTATGATATGATAAAGAGAGGGAGCTTACAAACCAAATCCGTGAAACTTTTGATTCTTGATGAATCAGATGAAATGCTGAGCAAAGGTTTGAAAGACCAGATCTATGACGTTTACAGATCTCTTCCACACGATATTCAGGTTCGATTGCTCGAATAGTAGTAGCAATTGGTTAATCATAGCTTCTTGGTTGTTTGTGACTCTAAATCTGTGGTTTACATAGGTTTGCTTGATTTCTGCTACTCTTCCTCAAGAGATTTTGGAGATGTCAAACAAGTTCATGACGGATCCTGTGAGGATACTTGTGAAGCGTGATGAGCTAACTCTTGAAGTAAGTGTTTCTTCTGCCATATTTTATACTTTTAACTCGTAAATTCAACTCATGAATGACAAACAATAAAGTTTCCACTTTCTAGGGAATCAAACAATACTATGTTGATGTTGGGGAAGAAGAGTGGAAATTCGATACGCTCTGTGATCTTTATGGGAGGCTTATTATAAACCAAGCTATTATCTTTTGCAACACAAGACAAAAGGTGAATACAGTTTTTTACTCGTGTTCTTAATCTTTAGTTCCCTATATCTCTTATGTTCGATAGTTTTAAAGCTTTGATCTGGCATTTATATAAATGTAAGGTGGATTGGCTTACTGAGAAGATGAGGAGTAGTAACTTTATAGTCTCGTCAATGCATGGAGACAAACGTCAAAAGGAGAGAGACGAAATCATGAACCAGTTCCGGTCTTTTAAAAGCCGTGTTCTGATCGCTTCAGATGTATGGGCACGAGGCATCGATGTTCAAACAGTATGATCTCTTCTCTGTGATTTTGCGGGAAAATCCTTAAAAATACAAACTTTATGCTGACACTAGGAATCTTTATGTGTTAGGTTTCTCATGTCATTAATTATGATGTACCAAACAACCCTGAGCTCTACATTCATCGTATTGGACGAGCTGGTCGTTTTGGCCGTGAAGGTGTTGCGATTAACTTTGTGAAAAGTTCTGACATGAAGACTCTTCGGGACATCGAGCGGTACTATGGTACTAAAATCCGTGAGATGCCTGCTGATCTTGCCTGAGGCTGAAGAATCAGTTTGAAGGCCAGTTTTGTTCTTTTTAAGTTCAACTTGTTTCTGTTTTTTTTTTTTTTTTTTTTCTGAACTCCATTGGTTTAGATTTAGGCATAGGTCTCTACAGACAATGTGAACTTAAAGTTGTATACCGAAGAATATATATATTATTGTAACGTATTTGACTCGAGAGGCTCAGAAGAAATTACAGTATGATGCTAATATTCGGTTTGATTCGGTGGAACTATACGTAATACGCCGTACGAAATTGCAGAAATTTTGGTTTAAGCCGGTTAAGATATTTCACGGTAACGGCAATTTAAAGTCTCGTAGATATACACGCCTCGCGCCGTTACACAGGTTTCTCCGGTCGCCATTTCCACGTTGTACCAAAGCTTTTCTTTCGCCGTCCGTTTTTGCCTTTTTTTTTTCCGACGAAACCTTGATTTTGAATTTCGTCTTAGGCGACAAACGACGACGGAGATTATGAAAGGGATGAAGAGGTTTCTGAATTCTCTTTCGCGACATAGAGCTTGCGAGATCTTTTCTGTAAGTTCTTCGCCTTCTTCTCTTCTGACACCACGTCGCTCAGTGTTTATCTCGGCGGCGACGCACTTGCCGGAGAATTTATGGGATACAAGAACGGCTACTGCTGCTCGTAGCTCTTCGAGATCTTCTTCCTTTCCCCTGAATTGGGTCTTCCGAGGAGGTATGTCGTTAATCTTCGGATTTGTATTTCATCATTCGTAGCAGAAACAAAAACGAAGTGAAGAATTATGAATTCTGATTCTCTCTGTCTCGTAAAGTTAGTTGCTTTTAAAGAAAAATCTCAAATTTCGAAGTTAGAGCAATCTTATCTCTTGACATGAGAGATGAAAAAGGTTATGGCTTGAAGGTCTTATCTTTATGTTTTGGGGCAGTGCAAAGGAGGACAATGTTTATACAAACACAATCAACACCAAACCCATCTTCTCTGATGTTTAATCCTGGCAAGCCAGTCATGGAAATTGGAAGCTCAGATTTCCCTAATGCTCGTTCAGCTATGGGTTCGCCTTTGGCCAAAGCCATTTTCGCCATTGATGGTATGTATATTGCTTCGCCTTTTGCTCCTTGCATATGTTTTCTCAGATAATCTGTGTTTTCGTTTCTTTTTGGTGTGACCAAGAGATTCTCTGTGTTTACTCTCTCTTGATGGCAGGTGTTGTTCGAGTTTTCTTTGGGTCAGATTTTGTCACTGTAACAAAGTCAGATGATGTAACGTGGGATGTCCTCAAGCCTGAGATCTTTGCTGTGGTGATGGACTTCTACTCTTCTGGTCAGCCTTTGTTCCTGGATTCACAAGCTTCAGCTGCCAAGGATACTGCCATTAACGACGTACGCTTCCACTCTTTATCCAAGTTTTTTTGGTAGATGAGACTCTTTAGGCAAATGTCTAAGAAGAGTTACCTTTTTTTCTCCTTCGTTCAGGATGACTCTGAGACTGTAGCAATGATCAAGGAACTCTTGGAGACTCGCATCAGACCATCAGTGCAAGATGATGGAGGGGACATCGAGTATTGTGGATTTGATACGTAAGTTCTTCTTATCGGTTATATCAAATGGTCGAGAAGATCTTATTCTTCTCTTTTTGTATCTTTATTGAAGCTATATATATATATATGTTTTTGATCAGGGAAACTGGTATCGTTAAGCTTCGAATGCAAGGAGCTTGTAGTGGATGTCCAAGTTCATCTGTTACTTTGAAATCAGGGATTGAGAATATGCTGATGCATTACATATCCGAGGTCCTGATCTATCGTTTCTGTTATGTCTTCAGCGTGATCTTGCTATAGTCTCTTGTCCTGTACTCTAATCATCAAAGATTACTCACCAAAGTGGTTTTGGGCGAAACACAGGTCAAAGGCGTTGAGCAAGAATTTGACGGTGAAGAGGAGGGAACATCATCATCTGGTCCATTGGAGTAGAGTAACAGAAGCGTATCAGAAAAGACTTGAGATTTGTTGCTGCTCTTCAATATACAGAAAGACTAATAAAACTAGAGGTACATTAGCTTTGTCTTCTACTGAACTTGGCAGTCTTCTTTTATCTGTTTATTTTTTTTATCAAACCTCAGAAAACTATAGACTACTGAGAAATCATTGGGATAGGTTGTTTGATTTAATCCCAAATAATTGATTTCTTATGAAATATATGGCTCTTACTGTGCATTCAACTGTAGTTGAAAGGGTAAAGATATGTAGCCAAAGCTTAAGTTTTTATTTGCTGATTTAAGTTCTTTTACGGTTTGTAATTGTACGCATCAGTGGACAATTCATGTACATTAACAAAGAGCTGTTGTAGATTTTGATCAAATATGATCGTTACTTCATTACGTACCAACTGAGAAAAATTTACAGAGACAAAACAGAGACACATGGAGTGGATATATATTGTTTTGTTGCGAAACTAGTGAACTTAGTTACGGCATATCTTGGCCGTAGGCATTGTGACACAAACAGGAGCATACTTCTTCTTGGCTGCTTCTGTACCTCTCTTGGGTTCTTCATCCGCCATTGCCACCTTAGCTAAGGAGCAGACAGCCGCAGCTGCAGCCGTGAACACCAGATCCCTCCTCATCTTCATGCTCTGTTCTTGCTTCTTGTTCTCTAAGCTGGTGGTGTTCTCGCTCTTGGAGGCTTTCACCACCGTGAGGCTTCGTCTGTTGCTGCTTTTGATGGTTGTCGGAAGCTTTGAGACGGCCGGGAGAAATGAAGATGTCATGGTCATCGACGCCATTGGTAAGTTAGTTCCCACGTGTGATGTGATCTCTTAGTCTCTCTCTGTTCTTTGTTTGTCTGATGAGTTGGTGTTTAAAAACTTGGGGATGTGGGGAAAAGAAAAAGAAATGACTTTGAGGGATTATGATCCATTTCCTTATCCAAAATATGAATTTAGAGCAAATGGGTTGTTGCCACGTGTATTTGTGCTATCTGTTTGCAGTGAGGAACTTGTGGTCGTTGAATCTAAGTTAGAGAGTCTAGAAGCATTTAGATACTGTTCAGAATTAGGTCCACTGTTGGTTATTGAAATAAATCTTGATTTCTTCAAGAAACAATCTTGGTTTTAAAAAGTAAAAAAAAAAAAAAAGAAAAAGCAATAAGCAAAGATGTAAACGTAAAATCGTCAAGAGCCCAATCCAACTTCTTTGAATACCAAAACGGACGAGTAGTCACAAGCTTCTTCTGGGCCAAGTAGAAACATAATACGAGTAGTGATTTGTAAACGGTTTTAAAAAGTTGTACACAACATTTAAAATACTACTATTATAAAGTTTTGAATCGTCTAAAACAATGTTGAATAACAACAATAAAGTATTTGAATACATTCCTTTTTTCAATTTGAATAGTAGACTCTAAAAAAACATGACTCGAGTAAACAACCACACTAGTCACTATGTAATTAATGGATATCGTAAAAAGGAAAGAAAAAGGACATAATAAATGAATATCCAATGAGGTTACTGGTATAGTGGCAGGACTGTAAATAAATCGAAAAGAAGAGGAAGCAGCGGTTTCATCACGAACAACAAGCTCAGCTTTTATTTGAAAATGGCTCCACTTCACGAGGTTTCATCTCTCTCCTTCTTTCTCTCGCCGTAGGCTTTACTCGAGAACCAGACCCGAGATCGTTAAATTCGGATTCAATTATAGTATATATATACATGGATGAGTGCACATTGGAGAAAAAACACAATTTAAAATTACCAATCAAATGGGTGATCTTTGATGATTCGCTTGAATTCTCCAAGGTTGTCTCTTTTCTTCTCTGCTTTCGAGTGATTCTCTCTCTCTCTCACTCTATTTTCCAACGGTAACAAAGGTTTTTTTTTTTTTTTCAAAATCCGACAGAGAAAGAGAGAGAGAAAGTAAAGATCAGAGTTTTTTTCCATCTAAGTCTTAAAAATGATGTCTTTCTTCTTCTGACAATCATTACCAGAAAGAGACAGATACAAAGACAAAGACAGAAACAAAAAACAGACACTTTTTTAAAGTCGGCGGTAAAAATGGAGAGAAGAAACGAGGGGACAACGACGACGATGATGATGATGAAGAAGTCGAAGTGGCAGTACCCACAAGTGGGCCCTCCGGCGCCGAGGATTCTTCAGTTGCCACGTAGGCATAGTGTTCGACGAAATTCCGCAAAGGGTAAGTCAACACCATCTTCTTCTTCGTCTCAGAAGGATCAGAGAGTGAAACTTGAGGTTCTGTTTCACCAAGAGAGGTCGTTCGATCGTGGGACATCTCCGGTTGTGATAATAAATGATGAGGAGAATGAAGGAAGAAGAAGAGGGAAAGTTGCTGATGGTAGAGAGATTGGTGTGTCGGTTGATGAAGTTGAGGAAGCCAAGTGGAGGTTTCAGGCGGAGATGTTGAGATCAGAGTGTAATTTGCTAAGAATAGAAAAAGATATTGCTTTGAAGAAGATGGAGAGGAGGAAGAAGCGAATGGAGAGGACGCTTAGATCTGCTGTTCATACCCTTCTCTCTGTAAGTAAAATCTGATTGCTTTGTGTGTTGTGTGTTGTGACTGTGATTGTTTTTGAGTTTGAAGCTGTTTTTTTTGGTTTTGTTGTTGGTTTGATTTAGGGGAAACAGAGAATCTCAGAAGGGAAGAAAGAGAGCAAGGTTTTGGAAGATGAGATTAGCTATTTGATTGAGAAACTGAATGAGTTAAAGTCTCCTCCAAAGGTTAAAGACATGGAAGCTAGAAACTGCAGACAGAATTTTGACAGGCAAGCTTCTGTTTTAAGAAGAGAGCTGGAGAAGTTCGACGAAGAGGTTTGTGTTAACGGGATTCGAAAAATGGCAGAGGCTAGCTTCTTGGTGAATCCCAACACTTTAATAACCGATCACAATGTTCTTAGGAGCAATAACGGCAATGTGAGTGACAACAATTCACTGTGAAGTTGCAGTCTTTTTTTGCATGATCTTGATTTTTGATGTTTTTCTGCTGCAGATAGATACATTGAGCAATAAGATGGAGGCGCTGTCGAAAGGGGTTTTGTTGGAAAGAATGGAGAAAGAATATGGATCGGTTCTCTCCAAAGCCATTGATCATCAAGATGCATCTGAACAAGACATGTATTATAGTAAGGTAACTTTGTCAAACATAGCTTTTCTTGTATATACTGAGCTCAAGTGAAGTTTGTGAAGATGAAAGTTTTCTTTTTGTGCAGACAATTAAAGCGCATGAGGAAAAGAAAGATTGTTCTAGACAGTGCAAAGCAGTTATGAGGAAGATCGCAGATGAAGTAAGAGCAGAAGCAGAGCAATGGTCACAAATGCAAGAAATGTTGTGTCAAGTGAGAAATGAAATGGAAGAGCTTCAGTCTTGTCGTGATTTTTGGCAAAACCGTGCTCTTGAATCAGATTCTCAGATACAAAATCTACATTCCTCGGTAAGATAGAATTTTGTAAACCATAGATTCTTCTCGGTTTTCTGACTTAGCAAATGTTGAAATCCTTTTTTATGAATCTGTTTAGGTTGAAGGATGGAGACGAAAGGCGTTATCATCAGAAGCAAAGTTGAAAAACCTACAAGCAGAGGTTTTCGGATTACATGAAAAGATCGAAAGATTGAAGAAGGATCATAAGTTAGAACCAGAGAAGAGCAACAAATTGCCATCAGAGTCAGAGAAGAGGGTATTGATTTGTAGGTTGAAAGAGAACCGACATAGCAACAATGGAGATTGGTCTAAGTACAGTGAAGGAAGAACAACAAAACCGTCTTGCTCAAGACCGGCTTTAAGGGAAATCAAGAACGTTTCAGTTACTTCAAGGCAGAGAAACTCCAGTGTCATGAAAATGTAATTTCGGATATTTCTCTGTTTTTCTTTCTCAAAGTTAATAATAAATTTGCAAATTGAGTTCATGAAAGACTTGGTCTAAAACCCTCTCAAATCAGAACATTATTGAACATTTCACAAAACGAATATGAATATATAAAAAACGTATGGACGAGAATAAGAGGAGTCATACACTTGGCAGGGAAAAATCCCGAGGAAAACTCTAACGAACTCTCCCAAAAATGGCGCGCTTGAAGCCAAAAAAGAAACAGAAAAAATAAAAAGGCAGAGAAGCTAAGAAAAAAACTCTCAGTTTTGAAGATTTCAAAACAAAGAAAACAGAAGGAGAAATAATTGAGAAGATCTGAAAGAAGAATGAGCAGCGAAGAAGAGAAGACGGTGTGTGTAACAGGAGCTTCAGGCTACATTGCTTCATGGATCGTTAAACTTCTTCTTCTCCGTGGCTACACCGTTAAAGCCTCTGTTCGCGATCCAAGTCCGTCTCTTTTCTCTATTCAATCTCTTCCAAATCTATATAAACGGATCTAATCATTTCATTTTAGGTTTAGATACCAGATTCATGTTTAAGATTCCTTTTTTGATGAGATACCTTTGGATCTAATAGCATTCGGAAGATTATTTATAGATTGGTTCTATATGTATGTGTGTGTATATGGTTCAATGGAACAGATGATCCGAGGAAAACAGAGCATTTGCTTGCATTGGAAGGTGCAGAGGAAAGGCTTAAATTGTTCAAAGCAAACTTGTTAGAAGAAGGCTCTTTCGATTCAGCAATCGATGGTTGCGAAGGAGTTTTCCACACCGCATCACCATTCTATCACGACGTCAAGGACCCTCAGGTCACTATATCTCTCTCTCTCTCTCTCGATCTATCTTCTTCGTGTGCATTCTCGAATCTTCCATCTTTGATTGGTTTGTGTTTTGGTGTTTTGTAGGCTGAGTTACTGGATCCAGCAGTGAAAGGAACAATCAATGTTCTAAGCTCTTGCTTGAAGACTTCCTCTATTAAGAGAGTCGTCTTAACCTCATCTATTGCAGCTGTTGCTTTCAATGGAATGCCTCGAACACCCGAAACCGTAGTTGATGAATCTTGGTTCGCTGATCCTGAATATTGCAGAGCTTCCAAGGTAAAAATCAGAATACTTTTCTGGTTGCGTGATCTTGAAGTTATCACTCTGTTTTTTGTTGAAACACTTTGTTTTGTTTCCTCTCTTTCAAAAAGCTATGGTATGTACTCTCGAAGACGTTAGCTGAAAACGCAGCGTGGAAGTTTGCGAAAGAGAAAGATTTACAGCTTGTCTCGATAAATCCAGCAATGGTGATTGGTCCTCTCTTACAACCAACACTTAACACTAGTGCTGCTGCAGTGCTAAGCTTGATCAAAGGTAAAGCAAAAACAGAGCATTGGTTTGATAATTCAACAATACTTTTAAAAGAGATGTCTTTTTTTGAAGAACATTGATTTTGCATTTTCAGGAGCACAGACATTTCCTAATGCCACATTCGGGTGGGTCAACGTTAAAGATGTAGCGAGCGCTCACATTCAAGCTTTTGAGAATCCAAGTGCTAATGGAAGATACTGTTTAGTGGAGAGAGTTGCTCATTACTCTGAAGTTGTTAACATCTTGCATGATCTTTACCCTGATTTTCAACTCCCTGAGAGGTAAGTATTTTTTTTCTTTTTTTAATGTCAGAAACAGAGAACAAAACAGAGCCTCTCTGTTCTTTTAATAGAAATTTTAATGGTGAAAAGACAAGATTTTTGAAAAGTATTCCATTGAAATTGTTGCAGGTGTGCAGATGAAAAGGTATATATTCCAACATATAAAGTGTCTAAAGAGAAAGCAGAGTCCCTTGGGGTTGAGTTTGTGCCATTGGAGGTTAGCATTAAAGAGACTGTAGAGAGTTTGAGAGACAAAGGGTTCATCAGATTCTGAGTTTCATCCCACCCAAAAAATTCAAACCAGAGCCAGACTTGGATCTGTTTGTTTCTGAGTCCCATGTTTCTTTTTATTTATTTGTTTGTGTTTAATTTTCCTTAATTCAAACATGGGGTGTGTTGCTATGATACTGTCAACATTTTTTTTCATCATTTTGAACTGATGGGATTATGCTATTTTCACATTGGAATTTGTATTTGCAGGAAGTTTCCTTTTTTGAAGCGGTTACAATATAATATAGCAAATCGTCAAATTTATTACCTTTTACCTTTTGCTTTTAATCTTGGCAAAAATTATTAGGTCTACATATTATTTTATGTAGTAGTTGACATTACTTAAATTCGTACCACTCACTATTTTTTTAATGGTTGGAGTATGATCATTGATAACAAAAAAAAATTCAAATGGAACTTGACACATGTTTGCTGGAAAGAAGTAAATTATAGAATACGTAAGCCTATTAGTATATTTTATTAAAAGAAAGGAAATTATGAGTGTACTGAAAATTTGTGCATAATTGCCTAATTAGTGATGCGTTTATGTCAACCATTGGTGTTTACCTCATCATCCCATTTGCTCTCTTCACAAACGTTATGGTTAGTAGCCTTTTCAGTACCATACAAAGTAACGTTTAAAGATTTTATTTTTGTTGAATTAAAAAAGACCGATTAAACTTATAAAACAGAGGAAGTAACATTTATGAGAGAAGATAAAAATGGTAACAGAGTTTAATGCCAAAAACAGGATTTAGATGTATTCACTATTACATATATTCATTGATTTACAGATCTATTTAGATTTAGGTATAAATATGGTTTGGGGTGCCAGATCATTTTGATTCTTAGTTTAACTTGTTCTAAATGCCTTTGATTTTTTGTTTTGCTTTTTGTTGTATATTTATTTTTTAGATCATGTTTTTGACGGCTTTTTTGTTTTGGGATTGTCGGACTCGTTTGTTTGTTTCATTGTATACATGTTTGGTTTTTTTCCAGTTCGATCTATCACTTTTCTCTTTGGAGATTCAATGCTATCTGGTTTCGATCATCCACTTTTGGCCTCTGCTTTACTGATTTGATAGAAAAGTTCAAGTTTTATTAAAAAAGAAATCTATCTACTTTGTGAGAATTGTTGTCATGTTGTTGTCAAAAATATAAGAAGTTCATCTACTATTGTGGATACGAGAACGCATTTTATTGATCTTTTCATTGATATTTTCAAGCTTTGGAACAAGACTGATTTGGAATTGGCAATGTATTATCAAAGAAGTCCTTTTTCATTAATTTGTTAAGAAATATCATTAATTTCTTTATGTATTTTATTTATCAGATCTTTTCTATATTGTGATCATTCCAAGATCAATAAAACAAAGTGTTAAGAAAAGATGTATTCATTGGTGTATGTAATAGCTGACTTTGAGAAACAAAATGTGAATTTTGAATTCTAAAGATTTTATTCAACCAATAATAAGATTTCGTGTGGTGCATGGAAAGACTCCAAAAATAGGATAATGATTCAGATGATCCAGTTGACATCATCATCCTTCACATCTGATTCTTTCGACCATGTTTGCTCCACATGTTCCCACACAAATCCTTCATTTTCCTGCACATTCCAATACATTCTCAATCCTCAAGAAGCTGAATAATCTCACTCTCATACAAATTTGTTCATCTCTTACCTTTGAGGTGAGTTTGATAGTTGTTCTGCAGCATTGCCTTTGATTACCAGTTTGTTCCCACTTATCAAGCTTTACTATCCAACTTCCACGAGTAGTGTCTGTTGCCAAAACCTGATCAGTCCAAACCCGAAACTTGTCATCTTTCATGTCTCCATGGTGCCTCCCAAGCTCATCAATGGTGTCTCTGAGAGACTTTTCAGCACCAGATGGATGAATAAAGACACTGTTTGGGTGCTGAATAGGTTTGACAAAGGACCAAAAGAAAGTTTCATTAGTCTCTTCTATAGACAGATAAAGAGAGAAACTAAGGTTATAATCACACTCACACATGAAGCTTTGAGGCTTGCTGTGTATGCCTCACAGTTCTCAACTTCACCTCGTCTCCATCTTTCAACGAACAAGAAAAACTTGACAACCTCATGACCAGGGTTCGAATTATCCGCCTTGCACTCTATGGAATCAAAAACATCTCTCGGAGAAAGATTCGGACCGAGCTTAAAGTGACCTATCGCTTGTATAATCCCACTCGCACACCTCTCGCTCGAGTGGACTATCTTTGAGTTGTCTTTACCGTTTTCAGCATACCACTCCAACAGCTCTTCTTGAGCATTGCTTACCATGACACCATAAACATCAGGAATGGTGAATAGCTCAGTGTCGTTTCCAGAGTCTCCACAAGCAAGAGTGTTCACAGGGAGTTTTCCTTGAGTCTTGAGATTATTCAGAAGATAAGCAAGAGCTTGTCCCTTTCCTCCACCTTTGGGTAAAACATCAAAACAGTGTCCTCCACTAAAGATTATCTTGATCTCCAACTGAAAAACAAAGACCAAAAATCATTGAAATGTACAAGACCAAGAGTTTGATGAAGTAAAAAACTCACGAATCTTACTTACCCCACGTTTCTCTAACCGCTGATATAGCTCCTTGGTCACTGCCTGAACATTACTCTTGTCAATGTTAAGGCTAACCTTGTTCGGACTTTGATCATGTGCTCTCTGCATTCAATCAATGATCACACACTCTGTTTCATTCTACAGTGAGATTTGAGACTTTTGTTTTTGTGTTTAAGAAGAAAGTTGTAGTACCTGAAGAGTTAACTCAGGGAACTTGCTGGTTTCTTCTTCTACGATTCCTCTGTTCCATTTACTGTTCATGATCTCAACCCAACTCTCATCAGTGACCATGGAGTTACAATAAGCTATCTCAGTTCCTACAGAGGTAATGACAACGTCAGGAGTTAACAACGGCCTCTCTTTCCTCAGCTTTTTGTACAGCTCTAGTGTTCTTCCCGTTGAGAAAACAAGAAGAGAGTCGTGGCGATAAGCGTCTTCCCACAATGAATTAAACCTCAACAGAGAGAGATTCTCAGGATCGTTGTGATGATCAACCTGCGATATATACACATCAATCAAGATTTGGTGCAAGAAAACGAAAGTCGTGAATGGGAGGGTTTTTACCATTGTATCATCAAGATCTGAGACTATCATCAGACGAGGAGGAGATGTTAGCCGCTCCATGGTTTCAAAATCAGCGTTCCTGAAGATTGCGTTTAGTGGGAAAAATCGTTTAAGTTCAATATAAGATCACAGAAATCAAAGAAATTAGATCGTCGAAATTAAGATTCCATCGTTGACGAAAAACATCGTAATAATACATTTGGATTCCTAATCTAAAACATTATACGATTAGATCCTTGAGGAATCTTGGTGAATAATGTTCTTAGGGAGATTTGAGATTAAAGACAAACCTTGAGGAATGAGCAAAGCAAGATCGAAGAAGCTTTGCTTCTGAGTGATTTGTGAGAGAAAAGAGTGAGCGCAGAGCGGGGAAGAACAAGTCAACGTTTTCCTAGAATTAATTTAAAAATATTTGTTTTGTTTTTTCTTCAACGAAATATTATTTTGTTTCCTTTTTTTTTCCACGAAATATTATTTTGTTTCTACTTTTTTCCACTTAAACGTTTGCCTACTTGTTTACTTAAGAGCATCTCCAATATTTGAAATTTCTAGTGTTTTTTTTCTCTAATGTCAAAACTTCAAATGCAATTTCATTTTCTTTTTTCTTTTCCTTTTTATTTACATTTTAGTTTTCAATTTTGATTATATTTAATTAAAATCATACAATTTTTATAAATAACTATAAACCGTACTTAAAAATATTACACCTAATATTAATTAATAAAATATTATATTACAATAAAAAATTACATATAAGAATGATAATAAAACACACATACAAACTAAATTAAAAATTACAAATAAAGTACCAATTTACTCAATATAACCATTTTTGGGTAGATTTTTGTTATATTTTAAATATGTTTTGTCTAATTATACATGTAAATTTAAATTTATATAAATATATGTAAAATATTGATAAATATTTTTTTTTGTTAAAGGATTTAAAAGTAAGTAATTTGAAAAGTGAAAGGATTGAAATAGAAAAAAAAAGATGGAACTTTAAATTTGAAGTTTTATAGTTTGAGTTGGAATGGAAATAACTTCATATTTAGAATTTTACAGTTTGCATTGGAGATGCTCTTAATAAAATAGTATAATGTTTGAAAAATTGCTAATTCGTGGAGGTAGCAACTCATTTTGCATTATTAGCGTAAAACCCACAATTGAAATAATGAATTGTGAAATTTGATCCATCCATAGATTAGTTTTGTAAATAAATTTGTGGTCCAATGACTTTATCTTGTAAACCATCATGTTCATAGGTCATAACTCATAACTATTTATTCGGTTCAATGCGGTCTTTCGTGGGCACGAAGCGGTGACTTTATAATTTTGTACTATGTTGGATCTGCACGTCCGTGCAAGTATATGATTCTTGAAGTAAATTTTATAAATGTTTAAATTATGTAGTATAAGAAGATTTATTATATATTATGTTATAAGATAATCTGTTTCTTGGTACATATGTATCATGATTTTATTTCGAAAAAATGAATAGTTTGTTTTTCATTTGTCTTTTTTTTCTTGCTAACAGAAAAGCTAATTGTCTTGTTGATGAATTAGCTAACTCTGCTTTTTCTCTTCCTCTAGGTGTCCAGTTTTTAGATTCGGTTTCACCTACTTTAGTTTCAATTTTCAGTTACGATATGTCTCCCCCACCCCCCTCCTACAAAAAAACTATAGTTATATTAAATTAAAATTATTTATTTATGTGTTATGAGGATTAAAATTAAATTTTATAAATACAAAAATATAAATTTGAAAATAAGATAATATAAGTTACGTGCAACTAAATCAATATAGTAGACACACTAGTTGTTATTGTAAAATATGATAATATGTTATTGGTTTTACATGAAATTTATGTTTTTTAAAATTGTATTTAGTTTTTCTTCTTCTCCTTCTCCCTTCCTATTCTTTCTTCTTCATTTATATTATCTGTTTCTTTTTAAACAGAAAGAGAAGAAACAGAAAGAGAAGAAAGAATTGTTGGGGTCGGTCTCCGCTTATTGTTGTTTTCCAAACCCCAACTTTTATATTTAAAGATATAATATATTACTGATTTCATATATAACTTGTGTTCTTATGTTGTAGTCGGTTTTTTACAGGTTTGAATATCTAGTTGTAATTTTGTTAATCACACTATTATTTTTATTTAAAAATATTGATCTCGAATCATCGGTTTGGTATATCTTGTTGGTTTGGTCCACCTATCTAGGACATGAATGGTTTAATCCGTCTTTATCGATCCAACTTGTTGTTTCTGCTCGGCAGTTCGCCAGTTCAGCTCGGTGGTTTGCCAGCTCACCTTGTCAGTCTGGCTTATCACCTCTTCGATTTGGCTAGACTCATTTCCATTATTAACTTTTTCTTTGTTGATTTCGTCATAGTGGAGACCGACCCCAACAATTCTTTCTTCTTTTTCTGTTTCTCCCGCTTCTTCTTCTTAATCACCTCTTCTTCATCTTTTTTTCTTCTCTCCCTTCATTTGTTTTTGGTCTTCTCATTCTCCTTTTTATCCTTTATTTTTCTTTTTTTCCTTTCTTTTTTTCTGTTTTTCTCCTTTTTTTTTTTAGATTACCATGAAGTTCTGGACCGAAGCCTGTAATCTCTGCAGGCCCGAAACCACATCATGTAATATTAGTTTAATACCAAGAGTCACTCGATCATGTGATTTATAAACTTTGCCTAAATCCTTTATCAGTCGAGCTAACGACTCTTGGTTACTCCTTCGTCTTTTCCTCCATCCCTTCTTCTTCTCCTTTTTCATATTTTCTTCTCATTCTCCTCCTTCGTTGTTCTTCCTCTCTCTCCTTCTTTTTCTTCTTCTATGTATCAATAATCTTCTTCATCCATTCTTCTCCTTATTATCCTTCGTCTTCTTCTTCTCTTCCTCCTTCATGTCTTCTTCCTCTTCATCCATTCTCTTTCTTCTCTGTTCTCCTTTTCCGTTTTTTTATCTTCTCTATTGGTCTTATTCGTCATCATTTTGTCCTTCTTATTCATTTTTCTTCTTTTTCATCTCTTCTTATTACCCTTTCTTTTCTTTCTTCTTCTTTATCACTTATTCTCCTTCTTCCCATGTTCTTCTCTTTTTTTTTTCTCTCTTTTCTTCTTCTTTTTCATCTACTCTTCTTCTCATCCATCACTTCTCTTTATTCTCCTCCTTCTTCTCCTTCTTATTTGTTCTTCTTCTTTGTCAAACAAAAAATGATAAATTAAAAACTAAAAAAATTAAAAATAATCACCATATACATAGTAAACAAACTGAAACAAAATATTTAACATATAAAAAATTAATTTCGAGTAAAAAATATTGATGTTTGCAAAAATTTTTTTTTTTTGAAAATCTAAATAGAGAAAACAATTAGCCAAAATAAATTAGAGAAAATGAGATAATGTAAGTTACTGTTTTTATTTCCCTTATAGTTTATTGAAATAATATTATAATAAATACTTTTATTTTGTTAATTATAAATTATGAAAATCTTTTATTAATTTACTAACTTATTATTAATATGTTTTTACATCTACAACAAAAATTTATCAATATTTTTGTAATGTTTTTGAAAATATGCTAGAATACATATTTTTTAGAATATGCTTTAAATTTATGCAGTTACTGTTTTTTAATTCAAAAATATTTTAATTTTCTTTGAAAAGCTTGCTCCATAATTTTAGTAATCGAATATTAATAAAATATTACAAAATTGATTCATTAGATATTTTATAGAACTAAATATAATTTAAATAAAATTATATGGTTATTATCTTTTACTGTTAATTAACCATGTTTTTTTTTAAATTTGAACAGGTTGCTTTTAAATTTGAAATTAATCTAATCAAAATTTAATTTAATATTAGATTGCACTAAACATATAACAAATAATATATAATTAGTCATAAAAATTAGGTTTTAGTTTATTTTCCTACAAACATATGTGTTTGGTTATATTATTTCATAATAATAAGAATATAATTTTTTTTGTAATAAATCTTTTGCAATATGTTTTATATTATGTAAATGTATAATTTAATTATATTTATTTATATTAATTATAATTGTTATTTTCTTATATTGTTACATAATAATAAAGATTTGAAAAATATTATTTGTTATTTTTCGTAAAATGTTTTAAATTATATAAATATTTACAATTTAATCTCATATATATAATAATTATAATTGTCATTTTTATATAAAGTTGGTTGTAATTAATTATATGATTAATTAAAATTTTCGAAATAACTATTTATGAGAAATTCGAAATTAATTAAATGTGTTTGGTAATTGGAGTTAAACTAATCTAAAGAATATTTGAAAATTAATGTGTTTGGTAATAGGAATATAAGAATTAAATAAAGAAAAAAATGAATATTAATTGGTTGAATTAACAAATGACTAAACTGCCATTAATGAAATTCTAAGGAATAGGTTAAAATGCAATGGCATTTCATGTAATATAACACATGAAATGTGTTTAAACATTGAAGTGATCCTTAATTAATAGTATGGATAAGTACAAACTAATGTATTGATAATTTGGCTATCAATGCTCACCAAGTTAGCATTTTTATTGTACTAACTAAATTCATCTTTTTAACACGATTGGATGGAATGGCGGAATTGCAGAATATGCTTATATGAAAATATTCTGCTTTTTACTATATATTATAAAAAATAAAATATTAATAATTCAATCAATTATTATAAAATGATATAATTCTAATTCTAAGTTTTTAATAATTTGTTTTTCAAAATAAAAATAAAAATAAAAAATATTACAAACCTTAAATAATAGATATAACTTTATCATTAAATAATTTTTTGTAACACTAAATTATTTATTTGTATTTATTTAAATAATAAAATCTAATTAGTTATATAATTGAATAATATAAACATTGATTCCGCAAATAATCTACTCCAAATACGCTTTTCCGCTTAATGAAGATTTTTTTGTATTTTCTGTAAGCAAAAACGCAATTCCGCAGATCTTGCGTTTTTGCGTTTTTCCGCAAGTTTTTTTGATTGACAAAATTCTTGCGTTTTTAAGTTTTTCCACCATTCCACCATTCCACAAGTGTTACCAATCAGAAATCTGTAATTTTTTGTTTAACATCAAAATCATTACATTCTCCTCATTATGATACAATAGAACCTCTATAAATTAATACTCGATAAATTAATAATCAATATAAATAAATAATTTTTGCCGGTTTCAAGTCAGGCCAGTGTAAAAATTGACAAAATTCGATAAGATAATAAGCTAATACTTTTTTTAAAAGTTCTATGTAAAAATATGGTCCCAATAATAATATAAATTAATAATTATACATTTATGCATATATTAATAATATAATATAGTAAACTATGATGATATTGTTGTTTCAAGTTTATAAAATTTGTTTGATTTATCTTCTAAATTTATTATTTATGATATTTTTTGAATAAAATTTATATTGTTGAAAATATTGATTTTGTTTCTTTGATGAATATTAAAAATTCAAACTAAAAATATCTCGATAAATTAATAATTATTAATTTATCGATGAATTAATAACTCTATAAATTAATAAAATATAAGAGTCCCAACATTATTAATTTATAGAGATTTTAATGTACATACCTCTAGCTAATTAAATTTTAAAATTACAGCCTTAAAGGGCATTTCTCTTAATAACGTCAAGTCTCAAATAAAAGATAAAATGTGGAACACTTCTTTGTTTCTTGAGTGGATCCATTCACATATTTGATACATACTGAGACTCCATTAAGGGAGAAGAAAGAAACCTCCATTAAATTGCACGTCTCTCTCTTCTTCACCGACCCCATTAAATACACACAACAATAAGAAGAAACAATTATACCAAATTCATCATCATATACCCAACCAAATCATAACCACACACACAAAAAGACAAAAGGAGATTAATTATCAAAACTCATATTTATTTACGTTCATTTGCTCTCTAGTCTCTACACAAAGAGGCAAACCAGAAGCTGTAACTCTCTCTAACCCCCAAATAAAATGGCTTCTTCATCGTCACCAATAACTTTCAAGAACCCAAGATTCTTCACTTCTTCCCCTCACAATAACTTTAAAACCAACCCTAAAACGCTAATCTTGACAACAAAGATCAAGACTTGTTCCATCATTTGCTCAACTTCATGCACAAGCAGTTTAACAACTCAACAGAAGCTGCAACAGAGCCAAACCTTTGTTTCAGATAACAAACGAGAAGAAGGGGATGCACTAGTTAAAGAAGAAGAAAAAGCAGCACTCAAAGAAGAAGAAGAAGAGGATCTTCGAGAGATTTGGAGAGAAGTACAAGGTTGTAATAACTGGGAAGGACTACTAGATCCAATGAACAATCATCTTCGAAGAGAGATCATACGTTATGGAGAATTTGCTCAAGCTTGCTACGACTCATTCGACTTCGACCCTCACTCTAAATACTGCGGCTCTTGCAAATACCATCCTTCTGATTTCTTCTCAAACCTTGACTTAAATCTTCACAAGGGCTACACCATAACACGTTACCTCTACGCAACTTCCAACATTAACCTCCCAAACTTCTTCCAAAGATCAAAACTCAGCTCGATTTGGAGTCAACATGCGAACTGGATGGGTTACGTTGCGGTAGCTACGGACGAACAAGAGGTGTCTCGGCTCGGGAGACGTGACATAGTAATCGCTTGGAGAGGCACAGTCACTTATCTCGAATGGATCTATGACCTAAAAGATATTCTTTGTTCTGCTAACTTTGGTGACGACCCTTTGATCAAGATTGAATTAGGGTTTCATGATTTGTACACCAAGAAAGAAGATTCTTGCAAATTCTCTTCATTCTCGGCTCGAGAACAGGTTTTGGCCGAAGTTAAACGGCTTCTTGAGTACTACGGTACCGGAGAAGAAGGTCACGAGATAAGCATCACCGTGACTGGCCACAGTCTCGGCGCAGCTCTTGCTCTCGTTAGTGCTTATGATATCGCGGAGCTGAACTTGAATCACATACCGGAAAACAACTATAAAGTTCACATAAGTGTGTTCTCCTTCTCGGGACCTCGAGTAGGCAATCTGAGGTTCAAGGAAAGATGCGAAGAACTAGGGATTAAAGTCCTGAGAGTGGTAAACGTGCACGACAAGGTACCTTCCGTTCCAGGGATATTGACAAACGAGAAGTTTCAGTTTCAAAAGTATATCGAAGAAACGACATCATTTCCATGGAGCTATGCGCATGTAGGTGTCGAGCTTGCCTTGGACCACAAGAAGAGCCCGTTTCTCAAACAGACCAAGGATTTGGGATGTGCACATAACCTAGAAGCTCTGCTTCATTTGGTGGATGGACATCATGGAAAAGAGGAAGACAGGTTTTGTTTGGTGACAAAGAGAGACATAGCATTAGTGAACAAGAGTTGTGATTTCTTGAGGAGTGAGTACCACGTACCGCCTTGTTGGAGACAAGACGAGAACAAAGGAATGGTCAAGAACGGCGATGGGCGGTGGATATTGCCGGACCGACCACGGCTTGAGCCTCACCGGCCGGAGGATATCGCACATCATCTTCAACGAGTTCTTGGGAATTTAAAAAACGGTGATCCTAATTCCTAAACCCACAACAACATAGTATAATTAATCACATAATAAGGAAAGGCTTTGCTTGGTATTCGAATCTGTGTGTCTTGTTTGCATCACATTCACAATTTGAATGTGTGGGTCAGGTGTATAATAATTTGAACATGTTAATTAAATGTACATCTTATATATATACCGCTTCCATAATTATGGAGGCCATCACCATCCTCGATCCAAGACTCTGTACTAAAAAGATATGATTAGCTAGAACAAGTGGTTTAGGAGAGAACCAATGTCAAGCAGCAGCGGTTATGAATTAACACGTTATTTCATACAAGTATGATGGAAGAAAGAGTGGACCACAACAAAATGCATGCTTAGACTTATATTTAAATGGCAAGGCCACTCAAAGTAAAAAAAAAAAATACTGATAATAAATCTACCTTTCCACACATGACATAACAACAACAACGATGTGCGCACGATGGAATATTGTGGGATTCAGAGTTGCCATCATGCACATAGTTAGGCTTCCAAGGTCCAGAAACCATAGAGTGACTATAATATATAGCTTAGATAGATTTGATTCTACCTTTCTTTCTGTTGAAAAAGAGATGGTGCATTATAAGTACCAAAAAGATACTTTTCTAGCCATAAAGCTTTCATGAATCGTGATCATATATAAGCCACTAAGCCTTAATGGATTTGAGCACAGAACAATATGCATTACACCACACGTCACACAAATATGGCTATCCATTAGATGTTTGATGTGTTTCATCAAGATATATCTATCTCTATATATGAGAAATATAAACATTTTTGGATTTCTACGAGTTGAGGATGTTGAGACATCAATAGCTACAATAACAAGATCTTCGATTTATGAAATATGGTTGCAAAATTATTGTAAGTTCAACCAAATTGTTCGCATAGCTCATTGCAAACAGAAACAAAGATTGTTTAAAAGAAAAACATTCAACAAAATGAAATAAAAACAAATTATTTGCAAAACAAACCTTTCATTGCAAAACATCACAAAGATGTCTTTCGTGCCATTGAGAACAATGTCATCAAAAGTAAAATTTGCAATGAAAGTAATAAAAGTAGCATCTGTTATTGGGCAAATAACTAAAACTTGTTGTCTGAAAAAAATGAAAACAACAACATTAGAAATAATATAAAAAGAAGCATAAAGAACATAAAAGAATGAAAACTTACCTGTAAGATAAGAGATGTTTGTTTTTTTAAGGTTTGTAAAACAGCACAAATAGAACTTTATGAACATCTTCTTCAACAACAATTGAGAAACAGTATGCTTAAACAATCATTTCCAACAACATTCGGTGTGAATCGGGTACAAACTATGTTGTGTATTCTAATTACGAAGTTTTCCTTCCAGATTTTGTTATCTTCAAGCTCATAAGTAGCTATAAACATGTAGCACCTCACTTGAGACCGAATCTTTCTGCAAAAGAACCCAAGGGAAAATCATGTATATGCAAAGTTAAATCAAGAAAAACGTTAAAACAAAACAATATACCAACAGAATAAACATCAAACCTGTTTGATTCCAAGGATAAGCATGATGTTGGGATGTTGAGACATCAATATCTAAAATCTTAAACCCTTTTTTCAAAAACAAAAAAAACCTAAAATATTAAAATTCAAACCTATTAAATTCTAATGAACTTGGGCTACAAAAACAAAATCTAATAAAACTGAAGCGGACTAAACAGTAAACACTACCATTGTTTCTTATTGGGCCTCGTAAAGCCCATTTATCACCGTATGACTTCCTCCCATACTCTTACTTTCTGTTTCTTCCCAAATCTACCAAATCTCTTCTGCATCAGAGGAAACTATTGTTCCAATGGATTCTCTTCAGTCAAATTCGAAAGTCGAAGAATCAGAACAAAACTCCATAGTCGAAGAAGCAGAACAAATCTCCAAAGTCGAAGAAGCAGAACAATACTCTAAATTCGAAGAAGCCGAATCCAAAGGCGAAGAAGCAGAAGTTCCAATTTCGCTTCCCTACGACCCTACCGGAACCGCTCTTCCCTCTGGACAGGATGAATCGGTGCCACAGGAGTCACCCGATGCAGTCGAAGAACCAAACGATGAAGTTAAGGATGCTGATCGACCCGGATCCGACTTGAAGATCGAATCCGACTCATTCTCTGAAGAAGGTCCAACTGCTTCTTCGTCTGACAACCCTAAATCCCCGAAACCGGAACTTTCCGCCGCTCAGAACGGTAGCGCGATGGAAGAGGACGAAGGAGACGAAGAGGAAGATGAACCACCGCCCAAGAAGCAGAAGCGTCTAGATTCCCTTACTTCAGTCGCCGTGAAGGAAGAGGAGGAGCCAGGGCAAGTGCAGCCATCGGAAGCAATGGCTGTGGAAGAGGCAACGACTCCGATTGTGAATGCGGCTAAGAAATCGAAATCGAAGAAGAAGAACAACAACGTTTGGGTAACGAAGAGCACACGAAAGGGGAAGAAGAAGAGCAAAACCAATACGCCGAATTCAGCCGCTGTAGAAGACAAGGTTCTGATAACTCCGGTTCCTAGGTTTCCCGATAAGGGCGACGACACTCCCGACTTGGAAATTTGCCTCTCTAAAGTCTACAAAGCTGAGAAAGTTGAGATTAGCGAAGATAGACTTACTGCAGGAAGTGGTAAAGGGTATAGAATGGTGAGAGCTACAAGAGGAGTTGTGGAAGGAGCTTGGTACTTTGAGATTAAAGTTGTGAATTTGGGCGAGACGGGTCACACACGGCTCGGTTGGTCGACTGATAAAGGAGATTTGCAGGCTCCGGTAGGGTACGACGGGAACAGTTTCGGGTTCAGGGACATTGATGGATGTAAGGTTCACAAGGCTTTAAGGGAGAAGTATGCAGAGGAAGGGTATAAGGAAGGTGATGTGATTGGATTCTACATAAATCTGCCTGATGGTGAATCATTTGCTCCAAAGCCACCACATTACGTGTGGTATAAAGGGCAGAGATGTGTATGCGCACCTGACACTAAAGAGGAGCCTCCTAAAGTTGTACCAGGTATGTGATTTGCGTTACTTATCTGTGAAAGTTCGTGTTTTTGCTCTCACATATGTTTAAGTGGACCAAGTTGCAATAGTTTCCTTTGATTTGGTAGAGAATACATATGTGGTTGCGTTCTTGTAGATAGTAGGGTTGTTCTTGATCACGATTCACATGACTAAATGCCTTAAATTTCGTTTTTTGCTACCCTCCACATGTATGATGTCTGTGCAATTGTCGAAGATTCACGACCAACCTTTTATTAACGAATGCTTTTTCTTATGATGCAGGCAGTGAAGTATCGTTTTTCAAGAATGGTGTGTGTCAGGGAGTTGCATTCAAAGATCTTTTTGGGGGTCGTTACTATCCTGCTGCTTCAATGTACACTCTCCCCGACCAGCCAAACTGTGTTGTGAAGTTCAATTTTGGCCCTGATTTTGAATTTTACCCTGAGGATTTTGGTGGGCGTGCAACCCCGAGGCCCATGTGGGAGGTTCCGTATCATGGATTCAATGGTAAACTTGAAACTAATGGTTCTGATGATATGAAGAGTTAGGCAGAACAAGCAGCGCGTATTCTTGACATTTTAACATATAGTTCAGATTTAGTTGAGTCGGGTTGATCATAGGATTAGCAAATGAGCAAATGTGTTTTGTACATCTGCTTTGATACGCTGAAACTTGATAGTTGTTCTTTATGGATTAGTAATATTCGTCAAAAGTTATTGATTGTTCATTTGTATGTTGTCTTTCCCTTCAAATGTGTAACTTCTCCGAGAGTTTATATTTGTCCTTTTTTTCAAAGGTTGAAACTTAACATTTTTGCTTAGCATCTCGTTGATTGTTCTCATTTTTTTCCTTACACAACAGGCTACAAAATAGTTTAACAAGTTTGAAGAGAGTTAACATCTGGCAATATTGAAATATATTGACCTCTAGCATAAGGTTAGGCGAGTAATATCAAATCAAATTGCATATTCTTCTATTGCAGTGGAGAGTTAAGTCCTTCTTGAGAAGAGAGCGCGTGCTGAACATGGTATCGGTTGGAAGAGAAAGGTGTCTTTCTCCTGAAAGAAGGTCTTTTCTGGATGTGTCTCAGAGTTCTCTTTGTGTACGACATGTGGATCAATGGGAAAATCGTTTCCTTGAACTTGAGGATGGCGAAGAAGAAAAGCCTATACGCAATGAGAATCATCATCACAACAGCTAGATCCAACCACTTGGAGTTTGCTGGATTTATGCCTAGAACGGTTTCAAGAATGAGCTCCCCTTTCATTTTCGGCACCAGAGGTAATGGAGAATCATACTCAACTCCGATCATCTCATTCTTGAATGCTCCCTGCAGTTTTTTCACTTGTGCTCAGTTTCTGCCAATACAATCTGCGTCGATAGAGGCTGAGAAAACTATTCTTACCTGTAGAGCCCACGCACCATAGTTTAGGTAGGACACAGGGTATCGCCAGAACACCATAGGTAAGTCGGGGAACAGTCGGAAAAAACCCGCCGTCAAGACCATGATTCCCTGTGACATGAAGAATAGAGAGACAGAGAACGTTCTTACAATGTAGAAGAAAGCTTTTAGGTGATAGAGTGTGAGAGAGAGAGAGAGACAGAGAGCGTTCTTACAATGTAGCCAGCTCCTATGATGACTCCCATCAAGAAGTTAGGAACCAGTGAAGCTATCATCATCATGCAACTCTCGACGGTTGCAATGGCACTGATGAGGTCGAGACAGTTGTAGAAAAAATGAGAAGCCGAGGGTTGGAACTTCACCATGTAGTTAGTGATGGAGGTGGTGCTGACGCACATGAGGATTATGAAAGGTAACGAGGAGAGTAAGTTAGACATTGTGTACACTGCAACCCCATAGTGTCCATTGAGCCTTTCCCGAGAAAACACCTAGATTCAAGGGAAAAGATGTTAAGACACAAAGAGGGAAAAGAAAGAGAGAAGCTTGGTGTTAAAGTTTACCTTCATTTCTTCAATGAAGGATTGAAAACCTCCTATTGACATAAACGTCATGAAACCTGCCATGAACCCGCCGCAAGCTGCAGTACTCATGACGTTTTTGTGGTTTTTCCCGACGTTGAAGAAGACAGAGCCGACGCAGATGGATAACACTACGTAGACGCCGATCCGTATCCAGTAGTACCCCAAGTCTCTACTCATGTTGATGAGAGATCGCTGAGTAAGTACTCTGAGTTGTTTCCACCAGTTTGTTTGACTCCCACTTTGCATCTCGTTGACAAGTCCCTTCTGTTGCAAATGGTTGCTTATGAGAGACTCTTGATTGTGTGGTGTACAGTGTATTTTTAAGAGAAATTATTGTGCTTAAGTCGTAACTTACGATTGATGTTATGTCTTGGATTCTTGCTCTTGAAGCTGCTGCATATTCTGAACACTTGAACTTTCTGACAAGTATTGTTTTAGCTTCTGATGCTGGTGTATCATCCAGGGGATCTAATGTGTTTGACGTTTCATGCAGTTGGTAAAGAGAGAAAGAAGAATCCTGCAGAAGACGTCAAAGGCTTGAGTGTATATTGCTCGTTAAAACATAAAAAAAAGGGCAGAGGAAGAAGAAGACAAACGTGGATTCTCTGAGATTCAACCATAGTTGCTGTGACGTCATCGAAATCTGAATTGACACAGCGAAGAAAGTGGTCTGATGGATTCCTTCTGCTTGGACATGGAAACCCCGCTTCACCAAAGAACTGCAATGTCGAAACAGCAAGAAACAATGGTTTATGTACTAAATCTCTCTTTGGGATTGGGATATATACACTCTTGAGTCTCTCTATCTTATTACCTTCGTTGCAGATTTTGCATCTCCAAAGTAAACGGTTTCTCCTCCAGAGAGCAGTAGCAGGTCATCAAAGAGTGCGAAAACCTCACCACTCGGCTGATGAATCGCAGAGATCACGGTTTTGCCATTGCTAGCGATGTTTCTGAGAATCTGAACCACAAAGAAAGCCGAGGCACTGTCCAATCCACTCGTGGGCTCGTCTAGGAAGAGGAGACTCGGTTTGGTTAAGACCTCGAGCGCAATACTGAGCCGTTTCTTCTCTCCTCCGCTTATCCCGCGCATATGCCAGTTTCCAATAGCCCTGTCTGAACAATCTTGCAGACCCATCTCGGTGATTGTAGCTTCCACAATGTCACTGATCTCTTTTCTGGTCAGCTTTGATGGGAGCCTGAGATGAGCTGAGTAAGTTATGGATTCTCTCACTGTCAAGGTTCCTAGCAACACATCTTCTTGTGTCACATAAGCCTGAGAGTTTCTCAACAGTTTCCAAAGAGAAATCGTTTAGTGATTTAGATGTTAGGACATGTATGGTTGATTGAGTAAATGGGATAAGATTTGCTTACAGAAGCACCGAAGTCGAGCCTTCTCTTCTTGCCATTGACAAGAACGTTGCCACTCATCACAACATTCCCTGCTAATCTTCCTGTCCCATCACGAAGCAAACATGTAATCAAAATCAATCTAGTGATGATATGTAATGGCTAATCTTTCATGTATATACAATAATTTTCTTGATAGTCTAGGTTTTTGGTTTTGGTTTTTTTCCCCCGGTATACAGAAATATTAACCGTATTACCGGTTTGCTGTGATCTTGGTTTGTAATCAATGTATTTCACTGTAAATCAGCCAAATACTTCTAAATGTTTATTTATTTACTAAGCAACCAAATGATAAAGCTGCTGACTAATATTCATTTTGTATTATGCATAATCATATACCATTTTGCTAAATAGCGCAATGTCGAATTAAATGAAATGGCTAGATTGTATGTTATTTTTCTCTAAATCTATGATATGGATAAATGAACATGTCAATGTCAAGTTTTTAAAAGAGTATGGTCATTTATATAATTTAATAAAAGCTCATTATTATTCAGGGTAAATAGTTTTTTTTTTATTTTGTTTTTTGAATGGATTTTTGGCTTCTTTATCATTATTATTCAGTGTAAATTTGGATTCCAATTTCATAGATAAGAGAATAAATATGTTCTACAGTTTGGTAGATCCAATCTGACCAGTCACCTAACCGGGCTCCCCTCCAGGTTTACTCGGTTGACGTTTAACAGATTACTATAGATTCCAGTTCGGTTCTATTGTTTGAAACCGTACCGAAAACCGGATCGTGCAATTCTAATTTTTTTTTTATAACGCATTCTAAATCTAAATGTTTGTCAGGTTGTTAGGTTTTTGGTAGTTGGTTAACATTTAAAAACAAAAGTTAAATAAGAAAAGTTACTGCAGAATTATTAAAAAGGTATGTGTTAGAGAAATGTAGCTATCAGTTTATTCAATATTAAATGTACGAACATGTAAATTTAATAAGGAACATGATGAAATCGGTAGCTATAATCCATAAATATAAACTTTGAAATATCTATATATGTATAGTGTTTTTTTCAATATCTATGAAAATCTGTCTAGATAGATATATAATAAATAATCTCATAGATAAAAACATAGGGGTTTGGTCAAAACTACAGGAGCGAGGAGGAACTTAATTCAATTAATTTCCACAAAATTGGGATACACATTAATGTTTCTTTCATATAGGGTGGTCCAATTGGTTTGGACGTCAAAGCTACTAAAGAGCTAACGTTTCTTCCATATAGAAAATTATATAATTATATATTAATATGTAATGTATTTATCTTCTGATATATAAATTACCATACAAATAAGTTTTTGTTCCTGAAATACCATCATTACTTTTATTTTTTCAAAAATACCATTAAATGAGTTTTTTCCCAAAAATGAGAGAATTTTCTCGGATAAAAACCTTATTGTTGAATTTCGAAAGAGAAAATTACATATCATCGTGTAATATTACCTGTTAATAGATAATTTGACGATATTGATTATAGAGTATATACACTTCACAAAGCTACACTCAGTTAAACAGAATAAACAACGAGCTATGCCCCTACACGTGTGTGTGTGTGTTCGTGAGAGAGAGAGAGAGAGAAGAGAACGAGAGAGTGACCTGCTAAAGCATCAAGAAGTGTTGATTTACCAGAACCAGAAGGACCCATAATGGCTAAGATCCTATTTGGCTCACCATAACCACTCACTCCATTCAATAATCTCTTTGTCGGTCCTTCACCGAAGTTTGGAATCACCACCGTGAGATCCTCCCAAGCCACAAACATTGCCGCCTTATCACCACCGTGCTCCACTTCCTCAGGACTAGCCATATAGATCGAAACAGCTAGGTGGTTGCAGAATATATAAAGGGTTTTAGACTTGTTTGTAGCTTAGGGACTTTTGGGAGAAAAGGGTGTAATATGTTTCTAAATGCTTTATGGTCTTATTTATAAGTTATAACTGAAGCCGGTGTTGTGTGGTGAATGTATTAAATAGGGTGGTCCAATTGGTTTAATTTAACCAATCTGAATCAAACCGACACTGTACCAAAAAGTGATTTGATTTGAAAAACAAATAAACCGTATCAATTATATAAATCTGTTTTTTTTTCTTCTTCTATAAAATCCAAAATCGATTAAGAAATCAACTTTAACCGAACTATATGATATTGGTTTGCATGATTTATAAATCAAAAAGAAAATATCTAAACTATGCAAAAACAGAAAACTTGGACTAAGCAAGTGTAGAGAAAGAAAAGAATCGTTCTCATTGTATGTACTAATGTGAATGTACATTACATGCATGCATTCACTGAGGCATGTGACAGAATAATTGACGTTTGATGCTATATTCATTTACTCGTTGGGACCCATTGGGTATTTAGGTACCAATCCATATACAAGTAGAGATCTAAGAGCAACCCCAATGGTAACACTATTGGGGATGGTCTTAATGATTAGTTTATAATATTTAGGTATTTAAGACACTTTGCAAAATTTGATTATTTTTGATCCTACAATGGAGACACTTTGATGGGTGTCTTAAAAAAAAAAAAATTTAATAAACTTAAATTTAAACATATGTTAACAACTTTTAAAACATAAAACATTTTCAAAATAAAATACATAAAAACATAGAAATTACATAATTGCAATAGAGAATCTGGAAAAACCGTTCAATTATAATATTCACTTCCGCCAAACTTTTGCCATATATGTTCAACCAAATCAACTTTCAATTGTTGATGTCTTGTTCTATCACGAAGTTGATTGCGAACGGTCATCATACTGCCGAGATTTGTAGCCATATCGGTAGAGTACGTCATATCCACTTCTGAAGTTCCTTCGCCGTGTTCGAATTCTGATACATCAGTTAGATTGTATCCATCTCGCTCATCTTCTACTATCATATTATGCAATATGATACATGCTCTCATAATTTTTCCTATGCTGGAAAGATCCCAAAAAAGAGTTGGGTTTTTAACAATTTTAAACCGAGCTTGCAAGACTCCAAAAGCACGCTCGACATCTTTTCTGACAGATTCTTGATGTGTAGCAAATAACGAGTCTTTCGAACTTTGTGGAAGTGATATAGATTGGATAAAAGTTACCCATTTCGGATAAATACCATCTGTGAGATAGTACGCCAAATTATACTTGTGTCCGTTGACAAAGTAATTCACTTTTGGAGCCTTTCCTTGTAATACATCATCAAAAACTGGTGAGCAATCAAGAACATTAATATCGTTTAAGGTACCTGGAGGTCCAAAAAACGCGTGCCATATCCACAGATCCTGTGAAGCTACAGCCTCTAAAACGATTGTTGGTTTTCCAGATGCACGCGCATATTGCCCTTTCCAAGCGGTGGGGCAGTTCTTCCACTCCCAGTGCATACAGTCGATGCTTCCTATCATTCCGGGAAATCCGCGTGTCTCTCCGATATACAGTAGTCGCTGAAGATCTTGTGTTGTGGGTCTTCGTAGGTACTCATTCTCGAACACATATATTATTCCTTCAACGAAATTCTTCAAGCATGAAATTGTAGTACTTTCTCCAAAGCCGAGGTATTCGTCAACCGAATCAGCCGGGCACCCATATGCCAGCATACGAATTGCTGCTGTACACTTCTGTAATGCTGAAAAACCGAACCTTCCGGTAGCATCCTTTTTTTGCTGAAAGAATGGAAGAGCATTCGAAAGTCCATCAACAATACGCATGAACAAGGGCTTGTTCATTCTAAAATGGCGTCGGAATAAATGAATCGGATATTTCGCATCTTCGCTAAAATAATCGTTCCATAACTTGATGTGGCCTTCTTCGCGATTTCTTTCAATGTAGGCTCGTTTTTTCTTTGATTTGGTTGGCTTTTGACGATCAATAAAAAGATTTTTGGATAATTTATTGAAAGCTTGCTCATAATGTTGTTCATATATTTGATCTAATTTTTCATCGATCATTTGATCAATTTTTTCTTCAAATGGATTATTGGAAGAAGAAGCCATTTGAAAATATGAAAAAAAAAGGAATGAGTGGTTTTTTGTAATAAAAGAAAGACGAATGACTATAGAGATGGAAAAGGAAAATGGATGTAGAAAAGTGTTTGTTTTGCATTTCATTTATATAGAGAAAAGAGGGGATGTTGTTTGTGATAGGTGTTTGTGGTAGGTATACATTTAGCAAAACAACAAAACAATGGCTTGTCTGAATTCATATTGCCGACATCAAAACAATACAAAAAAAAATGATTTGCCCACATGTGATTCTGAATTCATATTGTCGACATCAAAACAATACAAAACAAATTATTTGCCCAAATGTGATTCTGAATATATATTGCCGACATCAAAACAATACAAAACAAATTATTTGCCCAAATGTGATTCTGAATATATATTGCCGACATCAAACTAGAGAGCGACAATGTTCTTGTCTTTTCCAAAGCTGCAAAGAATTTATACACTTTATGAGGATTTCAGTATATACTTACACAAATATGTACATAAATCGTTATACAAATATGTAATATAAGAGATTCTTACCACAAAGTAAACAGACGATGAAGCAAGGATAGTGAAGACTCTGTCTCAATCTGAAACAGAAACACAAATTTCAATGAACTACCAATCTCAATAACTAAAACTGAAACTGAAACTGAAATAGAAGCATGAAACTTAAATTTCAATGAACTACCAATCTCAATAACTAAAACTGAAACTGAAAGAGAAACTGAAACTTAAAATTAATTTCATAAACTTAAATATCAATTCAGAAACTTAAATTTCATTATATAAACTTAATATCATACAAGAGTTTCAGAAATTCTAGAATTTCATAACATGTTCTGAATTAACTTATTCTTAAGAGCCATTTCTATATCAGAAAGTGGCTCTGTTTTGCAGAGGAGGCTTTCAAGCAACTTTTTATCTGAAAGTTTATCCTTCATGGCTAAGTCCTTCTGCCTTAACTCGCACAAAGTCTGAAACTCTAACAGAGACTGGCTTTCTTCCTCCACAGAGGCTGTCTTGGTGACTGCCTTCTTAGCTTTCGCTTTTGCTGCTTTAACACCAGAAGGTCGAATAGGATCTTCAATGTTAACCGAGTGAGAGCTATCAGATTGTGCTGAACCATCCTCACATTTCCTTCTTTTTGAACTACCTTCACCGATACCTTTACCACACAAGTTGGCACACCATTTCTGGTCATAACGAAGCTCCTTCCATGCGTGCTCAAGGGTGAATTTTGCCTTGTTGTCGTTGTGGAAGATCTGATGAGCCTGCTTCAGAACATCATCATCATTCTGTCCACTTGTCTTCTGTTTTTTTGCAGCCTCAAATGCTCCACAGAACTTGGAGACAAGCTCATTGATCTTCCTCCACCTCTGCTTACACTTGTTGTGATCTCTCTTCTCACCAGATGCAACCTTAGGACTAGCATTATATAATGCTGCTATGCGTGTCCAAAAGGCAACACTTTTCTGCTCATTTGACACGACAGCATCCTTGCTGGTGTTAAGCCAAGCGCTAATGAGAACTAAATCATCTGTGGGAGTCCATCTCTTCCTCTCTTTACGCTCCTCTGCTGTCCCTAAACCCTCTACTGATGGTTCATCAGAACACTGACTACTAAACAGGAGAACTTCTGAAGAAATTTCATAAGAAAAGGGGTGAGGGTGGTGACTATCCTGTTGACTATTTAGGAGATCCATAAAATTTTAGGATCGACTATTCCTAGAATCCATAACCTAAATTTCTGTTTGAAAGAGAAGAAGAATGGTTTTGAAACACAAATGAAAGAGAAGAAGTTGTTGAAACACAAATGAAAGAGAAAATGTGTTTCGATGGTGACTATCCTGTTGACGACTTTATGTTTAAGCAAAGCAGAAGTGGTTGGCGTTTGTTTAAAACATTCAATCGATGCATTTATTTACAGATATAAGTCTAATCACAGTTAAACTCAACAACCAAACTCAACAATTAATAGCAACTGAATCTTAACTAGCAACTGAAACTATCTAATCTTTACTATTTAATCTTAACTAGCAACTGAATCTTAACTAGCAACTGAAACTATTTAATCACCAAAGCTAATATCCAACATGGGAACACGTTAACTGAGAAACAATGCAGAGAGAATTACCGTTGCCAACTCAACAAAAGCAATGCGGGTTTGGTGATGATAGTCTCCAAGCCTCGCGCTCAATAAACAGTCCTCACGCACATCTCGCGCTCATCCTCAGACTGTGAAAGAAAGAAATCACCATTATGCTCGAGATTTAATTAAACTGATCAAACAGAATCCAAGTTTAGGCATGTTAATCCCAACTTACCCTCGGGAGGAAAATCGGGTAAAAACCGAGCACCATTCCTGACATTCTCAATGCAGCCCTAGCTCCCTCTGCAGCAACATTGCTTGGTTAGTTAAGGAAACAGTACTGAGAAATGAAAAAAAAACTCAAACGAATAAAGAAAGGTCGACTTGAAAAGCACCTTCATTGGTGAACTCAATGAAAGCGAAACGGAGGAACTCAATGAAAGCTAACCTCAAGGAGCTTGTGGAGACAAGAAACGCGAAGTCCAACAAGAGAAAACAAGAGAAAACGCGAAGTCCAACAAGAAAAATCTCTAATGGTTAAGCCGAAGAAGAGCTGGGTTCAAATGTCCTTCTTCTCCAAGTCCAACAAGAGAAAACAGAGCAAACGAGAGCAACTCTGATCATCCTCGCTGCTTCTTGGCTGTTGAATTCACCTTTGAGCATCGGATCTACGATCTCCATTACGTCCCCTTTCTGTTCCAGTTTCAACGTCTGAGATGGACGTAAACTAATTGTCAAGG